CCTGTTATTTACTGTTACTTTACTTACTTTATCTTTATACTTTATCTATGTATTTATTTATCACGGACTATTCAATATTTCGTCTGTTTACAGATCTTGGGGAGTACTACTGCACATGCTCATAAATTGCCTCGAATTATGTCACTTGAGGTGTTGATCGGGGCTTACCAGACCTCTGCATCCTGCTCCTCATTGCTGCCTGAGTTGAGCATCTTCTAGCATGGCAAGTGGTCGAGTTGCATTGTGGGTTATGTGGGTACCAGTATTCTTTTAAGACAAAGACATTAAGACAAAAACAACATCAAAGGACACATAAACCAGACACTTTCAAGCACGTATAGACAAGAGTAAAGCAGTGCAACAAACACTTAAGATGCATAACTGTGCAAACGATTTTGCTAAAAAACAAAACTTTTTTTTACTTAATAAACTGCGTTTTAAAAAGGTTCGCACACTGATCCACAAAAACTCGAAGACGTTGTAGTATGTACGCCAGGCCAGTGGGTGGCAGTGTAACTTTGCAACTCAAGACCAAAAGAACACAATGTAAATACGTAGAAAAATGCGTATTGTCTATTTACTCTAAATGGGACCATAATTTACTTAATGAACATCATGCTGTATGAAGAAGACATGGAACGAGAAGTTGGTCCATTTCTCCATTAAACTGCAAGGTATAGCTTTTATTGCAGCCAATGGAGCTCCCCCTGCTGGCCTTCACATAGAATGCAGGTTTAAGACACTTCAGCGTTGGCTTGACTTCACAGACCCAGAAGCTCTGTCCATTATATATATCAATGGTTAAAACACTTTCCTCAGCACAGCACGGTGAATATAAACAGGAAGAGAAGATGGCAACTGTATGCTTGGACTATAAGGCATCCAACTTTATCTATTTGGCTAAAAACGTAATAGTACAAGTGATTTGCGTTTTCACATCAAATGCATTTCGTCAGTTTACACAGCGACAGTAACGGTGGTGTTTACAAAAGATTGCACTCGAAAGCATTCAAAGCATTGAACAAAAGGCCAAACTGTAACAGAAATATAGTTTTATGCAAAAACTGTCTAAACAGGGCCTGAGAGCCTACAGCCATGCTCGTGGGTCTGTAAGGTGGTACTTTGGCACAGTGGTGTAATAAGCTAAACACAATGGCAAATATTAGATAGTTAAGCATTTTAGCTTGATGATATTTGTTAATTAGCACAAAACAAAGTAGAGCTTAGGATGATGGGAATGTCATTAGTTTTGCAACTGTTCATAAACCAGATGTTGTAAACATGTGACTTCGTTCGGACTGTAATTACGAGTAGCTGAGTGGGAAAAAAAAATTTATGTCAAACTCCCACTTGCATTTCAAGTTCTTCTAAGAATTCTAAGATATCTCCCACTTGGCCGAAAGAATTGTGTCAACATGACGGATGCCAAAAGCAACAACAACAAGATAAATAAGACCTACATATTTCAGTCCAGACTCAGGTGTTGGACTGACCGGCTGACATTTCCTTCAAAAGAGCCATGCCCATGCCTCAAAATAAACAGAGCAGGTTCACAATGCAACCAATGGCAGACATACTTCGAATACCGCCATCAAATATCACTCAAGCACTGTTTCTGTCATGACACAGACAGACAGCAACAACACCATTGTGTATTTTTTTTTAAATAGTATTGTTTATGCATACTTTAACAAGTTAATTGATCATACTTATGTGAAATGTCACAGTGATAGTAACATGAATACCTTAATAGACTTAAATATGGTATATGAGGGAGAATCATTGTATTTAGAAATCATTTTGCGGCTTCCATAGTCAAGTTTCTTGATGAAGCCCAATTTTAGACTGTTTTCTTAGTTTTTTTTAAAGTTAAGTTATGATTTGGGGAAACTGTTCTATTTGTTTAAAGATTTGGTACTTTGATCCTGGTCCGCCTGCTTTCCTCCACTAGTAAACAGTAGTGTTATCAAGCTGGATTGTACACATTGCCTCATCATGCTAAAAAGCATGCCTTATCAAAATGCTGCTTTAAATTGTTCAAATTATGTTTATCAAGGCAAATTTAATAACAGATAATGAAACTATAAACTAACTGATAATAAGTGTACTTGTAATAATTACTGGAGTTATTTGTTATAGAGATTTCAGAGGATTTCTAGCAAAACTACAGCCTACTCCCATTTTAGTCAATTTCGTTTTGTTTCTCCTGCATGAATATGAGCAACATTTAATGACTTCGTTTCGAATTCATTTTCACGAGAAAACCATCTTTGTTATATCGAGATAACGAGATAATAAGTCGTTATCACGATATAACAGTGCAAAATCCATGGCCGTTCTCGGCTTCTGTAGTTTTATGTCTCTTTGTAGTTGTTTGCATCTCTTTTTGGTTGTTTTGCACCTTTTTGCGGTTGTTTTGCATCCCTTTGAGGTCATTTTGTGTCTCTTTGCTCCTGATTCAAATGAATATCTCTGTAACCTTTGACCATGTATTGATTCTGCTTGCATTATTGGTCAGCCACTGAGGGAATTTGCGCTGACTCCTGACCAGCCATAACCCACCGACGGTTACCCATCATTCCATTCTCAGACAGTAAACACTGACAGGCTTCACACCGTCTTGCCATCAGGCCTGGGGTTTGATCAGTCGCGTGGCTCCTAACCCAACCTGACTTCTCCCAGGGATCTGATCCATGATGCCTGGGAAGATGAACATGAGGAATGTGGAAAAGGTCAGAGTTCAAAAGCAGCTCTGCAGGAAGCCTTCTCTGTTCTAATAAGCTAAATTTGAGCTCCCGCCCTGCGATGGATGGAGCTACAACACGCCATCTGGTCGACCCCGTCTGGACCTGAAGGTTCAGAATGGGAGCCGTCGTATCACATGTCGGATTACAATCAAACTTTGGAAGCTTTGCCGCAGTCATGTGCTCTCTCCTGCGGAGGTTCAACTCCCTGTGATGCCTCAGTCAGATAGGATGAGTGTCAAATACATTTCAGTAGCTACTTTTTTTTTTTATCTTAGTCACTTAATTACTGATGCACAGCACATTGCGCAAGAGCCCAAGTTCCAAAGTGGATCAAGAGATTGAGATTTGATTGAAATTTGTTCCATTAGACGCATCCCATGAGATGATCTTTCTTTACACTGGCAAGACTGAAAGAACAGAATTTCCTGCGTAATCCTAGACTGACTGTTCGGGCACATCTGCTTCATATACAGCTCCAAATAGAACATTTTGGGGATGAGGACTGACAGAAGAAATATTATGATAACTGGGACAATGTTGCTATGAATTTCACCAGAAGTGCGTCTACATTACGGTGTAATCAGATTTATGATTTTATTTGTTGGGGGAATTATCAAAAACTTTCATACCACTCTAATTAAAATATTAATAATTTTAATTAACCTGTAGTATCAGGATACAGCTCTGTTATGGGGCTCAGTATTGGGTTTATAGTGACCTGACCTTTGTCCTACCTTTTGTTTTTGTTTCAGTTGAGTGTGGTGGGATGGCATTGCAATGGAGAATCCAGACAAGGATTGAACTGGGGAGTAGGCTATGTAAAATAAATGATTAAATATTCCTGAAAAAATGAAAATAAAAATAAAAAATGAAGTCATTCTTGCGATTAATGAAGTGATGTTGAGAAGATGAGAGGAGAAATCAGCAGCAGATGACTGACTACAGACCAATCCATCAACTTGTCACATTTTGGCCGAACATGTGGAACACTAAAGCTGCATAAAGACAACCAGACAGAATAGCAGCAGCTGTGGCATCATTGTGACTTCAAAATAAAAGCATCGCTGAACTTCACACTGGGAAAAGTGTGAAGTGAGAATTTAGATCTCAATCCTCAAACCTACTGCATCAAATTCACATATTCAACTGAAATTATGTGTCACATTAATCTGACCCTTAGTTTCTCAAACATGTAGTCTACATTCAATTTAAATCACTTTAATTTTCTCTAATTTGAAAGAACTTTTGGATACTTTAATATAGTAATTCGTTTTTCACACTATCTGTACTGTTTTAAGGTCAGTAAACAGTGGGTTCATTGCACTCTTTCATTTTGTACAGATCTTATGACTCTTATTAGGCCCACCACCACATCTCTCCCATTGCTTGTGTATCCTGTCATTTCTAAGTAAACAAATGAAGATGATAGATGTGGAGATATTCATTGAGTGAGCATAATATAAACTAATTTACTGAAAATATGAAAACACACAGGGCCCTTATAAAGCAACAATGCTGAACCTATTTTAAGCAAGTTGTTATTACATATAATTGAGATTACATAATCCGAAACTATATTCGGATTACATTTGAAAAAAAAATTATTAAATCATAGTATGTCAAGAATTATTTGACTACATTTTTCATTTTGTCTTTAAAAATGGAAATTTTAAAAATGATTTTTTTTTCATGATAAGCAATTAACTCTTTGGGCTCTGTAGATCTTACCAGGGGAATGGTGTACAATGCGTTTGAGATCAGAGCTGCCACACATCTGACTGACTATAATTCAAAGTAATCTGGCCCCAAAAACATTATTGTGGCATTATTTTACATAACTTGAATAAATAATTTAATAAATTAATGTGTTAGATAGTTTTAGATGACATAAAACTGGGGTGGCCAGGCATTTTGTAGGAGTGGCAGTCCCCACTAGATCCGCTCCTGGTCTGACCCAACACTGTACGGATTTAAATGATCTAACTTAGTTATGCATGTTCATGAACAAATCAAGTCTTTTTATATTATTGTTATATTTTGATATTATTGCAATTTCCTCCTTTTTATTTTGGACTGATGCTGTGAGAGGTCACCTGTAGCCGCTGGATAGTAGTTTTACTTTGAAAGGTCCGAGCGGATCTTTCTTCTTTTAAAGGCTCGAGCTCGACCGTGGAGGCGCTGCTCGAGTTTGGAGAGAAAGGGGTTAACGAGTCAGCCCACCCCCCCTTCCACACACAGACCGGTGGCCTCTGCTCGGACTGCGCGGACATGCAGCCTGTCAGTCAGTGTGAGCCAGCCGCCCGCAGCAATGTACGGTAGCCGTGAGGTACGGCACAGCAGCTAAAGCCGCGGTCCTTGCCCTTACCGCCGCTGCCACCTGCACACTGGACATCCAACGATGTACAGGGAGATAAGGAGCAGCGAAGGTCAGCGAGCCGGATCGATGCTCTTATCGGTGATAAAGTAGAGAACGAAAACAGCTCCTTTTTCGCATGAACCCTGGCAGGACTCGGCTCGCCTTGTTGGTCGTCTCCAAAGACTCAGGATGAGGAAACCCAAAGTCATCCGGATGGTTTTTGCCTTGTGTCTGGGATGTTTCATTATGGTCATCCTCTACTTCAACAGCAGTCTCAAGCCAGGTGAGCAGACAAGCTTGTGTCCAAATACATTGTTTCTAAGCAGTGGGGAAAGGAGGAGAAAGTCTCCACCGCACTTCATTCAAAAATGTCACATATTACAGTTGATTCCATCAGTTTATCACCTCACCTCTGCCAATAAGTTCAGGTCGTTAAGTCTAAGTATTTCCCATATATCGGCAGCAAAATACATCTAACAAAATGAGAATTTAGATCTGTTTCTGGATGTAGAAATATATACATACAAGCATAGGAGAAATACCCCAATTTTTTAGAATTTCATAGGATCTAACCAACCAAAGTCACATAAGCCATAATATAGGTTTTCTTCATTAATTTAAAACATATTTTTGACATTATAAATATATTTTAGCATGGAAACATGAATGTCTGTGTTGTCTAACAGTATGGCCTGTTTAATCAAACCCACTGGTATCACCTACTGTCAATACTGTAAGCCATAGCGATAATCTGATGCTAGTGTGTGAATGGAGAAAGTGGTGTTAGAAGGACTGACTCCCTTCCTACCATCATGTCCATCTTTCTACACTCCCACCCTCTGTCTGGATTTCCCAGAGAACCACAGATCTCGGTTGAGGAACAATTTCATTACAGAACTGATTAGTGGTCTGCTTCCTCTGCTACGTGGAGGGAGGCTGGGAGAAGTTGCAGCTGGCTGGTATAGCAGGGTTGGCCCTCACTGAGATCTGTTTCCACCTCTTCCAGGTTCCCTCTCTGCCACATACAATGGCCTCATTCAGACATGCCCAGCTATATCATGCACCAAAGAAGCGTATACAGCCCATACTGTGAGGGGGTTTGGGTTTTTAAGAGAGAGGTCAGTCAGTTCTGGATGTGTGTGATGTGTGACATGGAGCAAAGACTGTTCGGAGTAATTATAGGAACCTATGAAAGACCAACCTCTTGTGGAGACCAGAGGGATTCCATACTGTCATACTTCTGAGAAGTGTTTGCTTGAAATATGCTGTTACACCACTAAAGTAAAGTTTTGGGGCAATTGGAAGCAGTCAAGGTAAAAAACAGTCCCTTGGATGGTTGCGCACCAACAGTCCTTTCACACCTGACTTTCTCTTTGATTTTCAAGGAGAAACAATACAAGTCAGTGTTGACATGATGTGATGCCGATCACAATTTGACGTTCTTATATTGAACTTTACTGTATCTGCGCTGTTATATTAAACATGGATCACATTACTAGTTATATGTGAAATGCTTGCTCCTCTGACACTGAGTCTTTCAGCTCATTGTTTCGGTTTTATGGCTTTAACTGTTTTGGTTGACTCTCTTGGCTCTCATCTCGTTGTTTTCAGCTGTAACAGACGTAGCTGGTGAACATAATGGAGCATTAAGCAGCTAAAGAGCCAGATATTTCCATCAGGAGTGCTTGGAGACTAAAACAGAACTAAAAGCACAGTATTGGAACTGGACCATGCCTACATAGACGGCTTAGTGAGCGCAGCATGTTAGCAGAGCAATAGCCTGTGCAAAATGGAAGAAAATAGACTTAAAGTGTAAAAATAAGCTTCAGGTTGCAAAAACCTGAAAACCTAATTTCGCCGCCTGTGTAGACGGCTGGATTCATTCAAATAAAAGTGTATCGTTGTGTCAGATAGGTGTCAATAGGCAGCTGATTGATAATACGCTTTCCATATCACTTTAAAAGTTCATATGTTATCAGTGCTGACACCGGGGCCCCGTGGCCAAACAATCACTTAGTGTAGGTTTAAAGGTCCAACTCCGTCGCTTCACCCATCCCTTCCAAATGTGAAAGAGAAACTATACGGTGGCTGCAAAACGCTTACAGAACAGCTCATTCACAAATGATGACTGATTGCAAACTGTGAAATAGAAAAATGGATGGTGGATCAAGTTAACATGTTAGCTTCCTCCCTTTTGCACTTCGATTCTCAGTTCCTTTAAAGGTCAACAGTGTTGATACGATTTGTAGATGGTCAGTGGAACAAATTCTCATGTTTAAGTTTGCTTTAGTTGAATTAGACGTAAAAGCAATCTACTGATCACGGTGATTCCACTGAAATGAACTGATATTGTTTAAAATTATTTAGTTTTAAATGCTGGGATGTTCAGGTCTTTTTTTTTTTTAAACTAAGGCGGCAACAAGAGTAGTGGCTGCACTGTAAGCAGCACTGTTCAAATAGTTCACTGTGTACTTTTTATGTCCCTGGAGGATTACAAAGTATATCTACCAAGGGGAGAATTAGAGCCAAATCAAAAGTTCTGATTTTGCATAAAGCAGTCATAACAAAACATGGCTACACATATTTATTGTTATTGTTAATATTAAGAGCAACAAAAGGGGCAGTGGCAACAACCTATGTTAGTTTCTCTTTAAAACGTTCTGCTGACTTTGCTTCAAATCCTGATGCACTGCCCGTACACGTGTTCATGTGCTTAATTGCATTTTGCAGATGTCTAGAGGTAATTTTTTGAAGACATGCACAACCAAGCACAGGACACAAAGCACGTATGTTAGCGCTATATAAGTGAACGGTGAAACATCTGAAGGTTATTATTTTCCGTTTAAGAGGTTGCCTCTGGTATCTTGGTGTCGGGTAGCTTGAATGTAGATTGGAATGCATCTCATGTTTCAGGCATCAAAGCTGCATGTCAGCATTAAATCAGTTTAAATTGGGTTCAGATATGCAGCCAGTCTGTCCTATTTGCATTTGGAACACCTTCACCTTCCCTCTCTTGCTCCATCTGGGGTAAAGGTCATATTGTTTGTTCCAAGACTATATAAAGCTGCAAGAGAGCAGCCACATAACAAAGGAATGCACTGCCAAGTCAGAGTTGCACAGTGTAAAATTGTCTTGTTTTTTAATTGTCCTCTCTGCGCTAATCTAAATTTAGGTTAATTACATAGACGCAGAGTGGGTTTACTGTACATGTATCCTGCGCTGTCAAAGACACAGAGGATGGAGATAGTATAGTTTTATAGAACTTGAGAGGCCTCCCACACTCCAAAAACTGACCATTTTAACCAGTCGTGACATTACCCCGTCAGTTTTTATAAAAAAGTGCAAAATCTGTCTGTTGGGCTGACAATACGGATCATATTTCATATGTTAGACTGACTCAAGGCAGTGCGTCTTGAGTTCCAGAAGAAATGACTCATTATGATGGGTATTTCTCCCAATGTGTGGGGTCTTTACTACAAGGGCAGCTGTTTCTCCATAAAGTTTGCACAGGCTCAAGAGCTGAGGAGGAAAAAGGCTATGTGGTGAAGCTTGGTCTGGAATGTGCTATGTTGTGTTTTATAGTCAGGATCTTCTCCTGCATGTCCCCCTGGAAATGAAACCCAGAAACACTGATTTATATGTCGGCGGTAACATTTAAAGATACAGATGTTGTTGAGGATGTTCTAGCTATTACAAGCTGAACTTGAGACTATGGTTTGGGCCTTGCGGCTGCTGTCATTACTCTCATTCTGGAGTGGTACCCCCACCTCATACCTTCCTTGTCTGGGCTTGACTGGAGGCCACAACAGTCATAAAGATGAACTGTCAGCTTGATTGGAACAGCAGTTGCCAGTTGAAATCAGTCCTCTGTCCTCACTGCTGTCAGATCCTCAGTCAGGCTATCTTTGACAGGTCAGGGTGGCCCTGCTGTTCCAACCTGTTGTCCTCCAGCCAGCTGCATATTCATGGCAAAGAGTAGCTAGGAGCTGATAATTAAGCAAGTGCATGTTTTTTTTATTCCATTTAAACCATCTGCTTTCAGCGCCGAAATCCTTGAGTGATTTGTTCTCTCACTGTTGACATTGCTCAATAAGACCTCCACTCTACAGATTCTGTTGTTTCACTAAAATCTGTCTGCTGCCATGTGGTACCAAAACAGTTTTTAGCCACACTGACGGCTGAATGAGGAAAATAATCTCATTAACTTGCAATCTTTCGGTCGGAGACTTTCAGGCAATAACAGGTAGCTAATGGTGGCAGTCGGTCTATTTGTCCTCACTGACAAATGTTGGATGGATTACCATCAAATCTGGTTCAGACAGTCAAGGTCCCCAAAGATTGAATCCTAAGGACTTTAGTGATCCCCTGACTTTTCCTCTAGTGCCACCATCAGGTCAAAGTATTCAATTATCCAGTCACATATCACTTCATCTACAGTTGGACATATCAGCACCTCCTGACAGCAACAATGTCTTGGACAATTCCACCACACCAATGATTTTTTTTGACAGTGTGAACAGCACGAATCACATGGAGTCTGATCTAACCCCAACTGGTCAAGGCAGACAGCCACCCACCTAGAGCCGGGGTCTGTCCGAGGTTTTTTGCCTCTTAAAAAGGAAGTTTTCCTTGCTGTCATCGCCAGGTGCTTGCTCGTGGTGGGATCTGTTGTAAATAATGTCTCTGTAAATAATTTTATATGGAGTATGGTCTAAACCTACTCTATTTGAAAAGTCTCCAAATTGATCTGCTCAGTTCTGAATTGGGCCACTTTCATATGTGGTCCAAATCAGGTCTGATTGTCTGATGTGACCTCAGTGTGTTATATCAGAATTCATGTAACTTTTATGTCACTGCTCACATTTGTCATGTGAGTCACTTTAGGACTGTGACCTGTTAACACTGGAATATGATACAGGCCACAGTTAAAAGATAATGTGACAGTCATATCCGAGCAAACAATCATATCTGAGCAATAAATCAGAAATGAGTGCTAAGGCTTGCAATGTGTCTTGTTGATCGGTATTCTCTGGCACGTGGCTTGTTCAGAGCACTTGCAGCAGAATGTGGGAGGCAGTCAACTCCCCAGTAAATGATTAAAACATTGGAGAGGATTCAGGGGAGCAGGAACAGCTTGTGACATCCAACAGCTGCATATGTCAGTGCACAACATTTGATTTTCCTCAGTTTTAAAAAAAAATCATCACCCTGTTAGTTTGCAGAGAAATTTTTGCACTTGCAAACATTTAAATGCAGGCATGCTGGAACATGCAAAGGGATAACTAGCTAATATTTCAGTTAACCAACTATTGTACACCAGACCCTTGTAGCCCTGTTTTCTCTGAACAGGATGAGGAAGCCTCATATCTCACATCTGCATACATTCTTCTAAGACTCAATAAACAGACACTACACCACCCACATGCCTCTGCTTTTGCGCAGCCACCCTTTACACACACATTTGTGGCCTAAAAGGATCAGGCTTTCCCTTGGACAGTGTGTCTCTCAGTAAAACTGCTTTTTGGCAGGAGAGGCCTAGGAGGGGGGGAGGGGGCCCCAGTTTTCCCAGTGGGACCTAAACAGAGCTCCGTTTATGGCCTGGACAGGAGGAACACACATTAGCCTTTCTATATTTTGCATTTCCTAAGCCCTCGGTTCTATACGAGCCAGGAGGAATGCTGCAGTGTTGGGTCTAGACAGGGTTAAACCAACAGGACTATTCCTTCCTTTGAATAGGCCTAAGGTGGGGTTGGTGAATCTTCCCAATGGTGGAATTTGAGCTAGAACAGCATATGGATCGAGTCCATAGCTTGAGAAGTTGTGTGTGCCTTTGTAGCATTTTTTTCCCTTCACTTTTGGAGACACTTGCACACAAAAATATTGTCCTTCCTTCACAATGTGCAGTCCACCCTCTCCAGCTGTTCAGCTTTAACAGTTCAATCAGTTAAATCTCTGATCTTTCATCAGCCTCTCCATTAAATACCTCACGACAAAGTGTGGATTGTAAATTTCCTCTGCTTGCTGAGTAATGCCACATTAGCAGTGCAGTGATGATACACAATACACTCTTTCAGCCCAGTCAATGTGCCATCTCAGCGTGTTGCTGAAGCACTCACAGTCTGCCAGGTATTTGTCAGTTCCTAAATTATTTCAGACATTACCTCTGCTGACTGGTGTTTCATTTAAGAGGGATAAAAAAATAAGGAGTGGTCATGACACTGTTCATTCCAGTAATAAGCCATAGTTTGCACATTGTGACAGAGGTTAGTCCGCTGAGTGAGAGGATTATGGTTTTATTATGGTATTATGATTAGCTTTAATTTCAATGAAACTGTCCCTGTCTGCATACAGTCACCCGAGCAGCTATTGGGCAGCAAATGGCCGTGCCGTCATAAGGTTTCCTCAGCATCATAATATCTTATCAGGTTTCAAGTATTTTATTAATTATGTTCATCAAAATTCATTGTAATGAAAATCCACATCATGCACACTGTGAATGATTTATTGAGGCCTGCTCACACCAGCATTTAAAACGCGACATTTCCATTCCAATGAATTGTGGGCAAATTTAAATATGCAAAACCTTTTCTCATTGAGTTCAACTTTGGTAAACTTTGACTTGCATATTTGTGGCTTTGACCAGTAGAAAGCTGTCTTGACTGTGCTGCCCTTTTCCCCCCAATATATATGTATTTTAATGGCTTTTTTAAACTTTTTTGTGACTGGCTAACATGTTAGCACTTAGCCTGCCAGCTACCCTTGTTAGTATAGTCACTTTGCACCACATAAAAAATAGAAAATTGGAAAAGTGAAAAAAAAAATTTCATTTATCAGATCAATGTATAATTAAGATTTTTGGGTTGTTTTTCTAATTTTTCTATTTGTGAAATGTTGACGCTGGTAAGGTAACGCTGAAAGAGTCGATGGCTGAAAAACTTTGCATTCTGTGGTGTCAAAAACTAAACCTGAAATAAAAACACATGGACATTCTAAAAATGATAATGTAAATTGTGTGTGTTTTAAATCTCAGTGATTGAAATTTCCTTGAACACAACACCAAGCAGTTCACTGGGATGGACAGAAAGCAGTCGGCAGTATTTTTGAGTTGCCCACAGTATGTGATCTGTTGGGTGGGTAATTCAAACACATCACAGGTTCATTCCTTCAACACTCATAACTCAGTATGAAATATCGCATGTAAGATCAACTTTGTATCCTTCATATACTCAATTATTCCTCATAGTTTGGTCATAACTACACATTCAGTCTCACTGGCAGTCTCCACCACGAGTGTGTCAGTGGGTTTACAGCTCATAAGCTGCTTGGCACCCATGACTGGCCCGATCACACCACAGTGTGGAAACACACACACGCACAGTAACTCAGCTGAGTCTTCCTGTAGTCTCAAAATTGTGTGTCAGTGCTTCATTCAATAATAACTGGGCTCTTATATGCCACTAATTAGCATCATATCCTGTGTATTTGTAAATGCAGTCGCCTACAACAGATGACAAATGTTATTGCTGCCTCAGCAACTCTGGAGCTTAATACAATGCAGAGAGGATATGTATTATTTAATAAGGCTCTTCTGAAAGCAATAAAAACATACTGAAGTTAATGGGACATTAGTCTGATTGATGACACTGCAGTTGAAACAGATGTCTCACTCCTTTGCTCGACATTGAGTTGGATTGATTCTTGACTTTGGAGCTGTTTACAGATGTTTACTCCAGTGAAAACTAGCTTTTTCTCTCAGTGAGGAAACTGCTGTCACTTTTTTGTTAATGCATGGGCAAGGCACGTCTGAGGAACATTTGTGTTGCAGGACCAAATGCTGAAGTGGATATCATACCAGCCATTTTTGCCTGTCTGTTCAAGAGTCACATATAAGGCCTCCTATCTTTTGGCTGATAATGTCTCACAGTTCAGTAAACACTGTGTTGGGGAAGAATTGTGTACTGTCATGAAGACACCTGGAGGCTTAAACCACTTTAAACTGATCAAAGTTAGGCTATGTTAAAGGAGTAGTTGGACATTTTAGGGAGAAATGCTTATTCACTTTCTTGTTGAGAGTTAGATGAAGATCAATACAACTCTCATGTCTGTCTGTTCAAAATGAAGCAACCAGCAATGAAGCAAGCTTAGCTTAGCATAAAGGCTGGAAACCAAAAGGAAAGATTTCAGTTTTTGTACAAATCATACAAATGTGTAATTGGTGATACAACATGTCAATTAGTGAGCTTTAGAGGTGGTAGTAGGCATTTGTTTTAACCCATGGACAGAGTCAGGCTAGCTTTTTTCCCTGTTTCCAAGCTTTGAGCCTAGCCAAGCTAGCAGTCCACTGGCTTTAGATTCATGTTTAACAGACAGTTGGTATAGCCCCTCTCACCTAGCAGGCAACCCAGCGGACATTCCTTCAACAGGTAATGGCAGAATCTAATCTATTTAATTTATCTTAAATGAATTTATTTTAGTCAGGGACCATAACCATGATAAAAATAATTACTGCCATGGGATGTACAGGTTACTTAAGGCCTCTTTTTATCTTTTGGACATAAGTAGCATGCAATTGTCACATATCTCGATTTAAAAAGCATCTGTATCCACAAGGCTGCAACATGGCACAGATCTGTTGGACGCCTCTCTCTGAACAACACAGCTGTGTGTTATTTAACATCACACACCTGTGGCTCAAAATGTGATTCTTCAAATGAGGAATTGTTTTTAAAAAAAAAAAAGAATGAGCTCCTTGGCAATGTTTGAAAGACTCCTGTTGTTCCTAAGTGTACCAGTCAGAGACCTGCCAGTAGTTTCTTAGAGTGCTACCTGTGCTCATCTCTGGGTAGACTGATCGTTGTAAATGTAACTGCAGAATACTTAGGAGGAAATGGGGGATTAATATAAGAAATGGATGTAATAACTCTTGTCTGTCAAAGATACCATATAATGCAACATGTTCAACATCTTGAGAAATAGGTATATTCACTGTATTGCAGAGAGTTGCATCATAAGATTGGTACCATTCTCATATCTGTCTGTTAGATATGAAACTACAGGCAGGAGACAGTTAGCTTAGCGTTGCATAAATAGCCTACTCCACGAACTCACTGCTCCCAGCCGAGAAATAGTCCGTTAAATAGATACACTTTAGTTTTTGTACAGATTAAATAAACAAGATGTAACTTGATTTTAAGTGTATTTCAAAAAATGGCAAATTATTCCTTTAATATAAAATAGACACAGAAGACACAGAACTCATTTCTATCCTGTTCTGTTGTGTGACTGCGGCAACATTTGATTTAAATTGAAGTTTACAATGTATTCGATTTCATAGCTGCAATCTGTAGCACTGCAGCGTTGTTCACAATGTTTGCCCAAATGTAATTCTAGATTCAAGTAGTGAAACTGTGCCTGTGGCTCTGTGAAGCTGTGTAATCTGATGCTGGAGTGAAAACACATCCCTGCAAACAAGAGCTCAAGCTTGTACACAGCAATGCTTCCCAACATACTCTCCTGGGTCCTTTGGCTTCTCTTTCTGCTTCTCTTCAACCCAGAAAGTCTGACAAAAGTCACTTTAAATATAGAAGGTTGAATGTTGGACTGCCAAAGCCTTTTTTTATCTACCATTACAAGAGCACTGGAGCAGATCAAACTGTGGCAATAACAAACCAATAAAAGTAGTTTGCTCTCTAAGTTTCTACTGTTTTACATTTACTCTTTTTTAGTACACCACACAGTATCTATCTTTGCAACCTATAGACTTGATAGGTGCATACAAAAGGTTTTTCTCCTTCACAAAGAACAGGCTGTGGTCAGTTTGGATTCTACTCACTTGGATTTTATTCATGACCTACATTTACTGTGGAAAAAAGTAGCATAACCAGTTTCTCCACTGTCCATCCATGTACTTATTTTGTTCCAGACATGTCTTTGCTAAAACATTGTAAAATTAAAGCTAAAACCAGCTTTTTTGACCGTCACACAAGGTCAGAAAAGCTGGTTTGTGTTTGAGGATATACCATAAATTATTAGTATTTGTTAACCTTGTATTGGTGTTAAATATGCAGTAAGTGCTATTGTTTCATAATGCACTAGTCTGATTGTTGCTTCAGCCAAACACATCTATGCTTTGGAATCGCTTTCAGTCAGATTTCATGATATTTGTGTTGTGTTTCCTCAGTCTCGGAGGCGGCCGGTGACAGAAGCAGTGGGCAGAAGTCGAGGAGGAGTCCTCTACAGACGCTTTATGATGGTGACCAGGTCAGTTCTCTCTAGCCACGATCCCTCCAACAGCCTGTAGTATCAGCCCTTAAGGCCTAGCCGGAACTCGTTCCGCACACATTACATATTTATTTGTATTTATTCAGTCTTACCTGCATTTAGAATGAAAACTCTATTTGAGCTCTGATTGATAAATTAAGTACTCTTGGCAGAGGTAATGATGGCTGGGCAATTTATGACCCTGAATCCTTGTGAGGGTTGAAAGAACATGCGCTGAGCCATGCTGAAGCGGGGGCAACGTGAATCCCCAAGTTGTGAGCCACTCGGCCAAGTGACCCCCTATAACTGATCTGCTCCAACAAGTCCCAGGAACCAACATCCAAAGCCAGATCCAAAGAGCCCAGTCTATGAAACAGACTACGGATACTGCGCCAGAACTCCCTCAAGCTCCCAGGCCTCCTGGTACCGAGGACAGAGCCTTGACGATCGACACAGATAAGTCCACCCCAACGTATTGAGAGGGAAGTTTTTTTTTATTTTATTTTTTATTATAATTGTTTTCCTACATTGTATAATATTGGACAGACCAGAATTTAAAAACATAAAAAGTTGTACATTTATTTACAGTGTAAGAGTGGCATGAGATTGGATTATAATTAAATATTATTCACTGAGGGGAATGACTTTCTGTCAGTAGTGACAGAAGAAGAAACAATTAGTGAGTGAAAATAAAAGGCCAGGGTAATACTGGAAGGTTTAACATGCATGTTTGTATGAATAAACGTATTATGAATTTAAAGCTAATATGTTTGTTTTTTGCTAAATAGTTCAGAATGAGTGTGCAGCAGAGGGTTAGAAAACATTTTGTCACAGTTAATATGGACAAATATAGATAAAAATGGATGTCTCCAGGATACCCATAGGTTTCTAAAGAGGGATTGTAAGGCACCTCTGACGGCTTTAAGCCTAATATAATTTAAACAGGTGGATTCTATAAAAAATCACCCCCTATACAGTTGTCATGAACAGGGAATTTGGCTATATAGACCAAAACAGTTTTTTGTACCAGGCTGTAAACATATTTATTTTTGCTGTAAATTTGTCCATTTTAATATGGGCCTTTGTGAAGATTGACTCTGGAGCCAGCCTCAAGTGGCCGCTCGAGGAACCGCAGTTTTTGTTACTTCTGTGTTGGCTTCATTTGCAGCCACGGAGGTCGCCACTTGGTTAGAAATCAAGCAACTTGCTAGAAACCAGTCAAGATATTTTTAAAGCTTCTTGCCAAATACCTGTTTTAGTCAGTCTGGTCAGGTTAGCTAACAGGATACATGGAAAGCCAGTGCCAAACAGCTAGCAGCCATGATAAGAGACAAAGTTAGCTTCACAGGCAGCATGGGTCAAAAGCACAGAAACCCCTTCACACAAGTAACGCTAGTATACAAGAAAGTAGCGTTAGCATAAACTGTATCCTGCTGTTTGCGTGCTGCACGAGTTAAAGGCACAAAATCATGCTGTTTCCTTAAAATATGCCAGACATTAGATATATACCAGATGTGTTACATTAGAGCAAAAACTCATATTACCGTAGTGTAAACAGGCAAAACATCAGTGATAACAAACTGTGTGAATACAGGTGTTGGGTTTCCAGATGAGCTCACTTGGCTCAAAAATATCATCTGTCCTAAACTAAAACTTTATATTTTTGTGATAGAAAATAAACTGATACAATGACATAGTGATGACTGACAAATAGATGCTTTAAATCCCATTTTCAGTATAAAATACATTATCAGCTTCAGCAGGTATTTCCTGTGGTGGCAGAAATTGTAAAGTTGTAATTGGATTGTTTAGAAACATAAAAACAAGTCCAAATGATCTTTGCCCAGATTTCAGTGTACAGGGGATTGATAAATCCTGCTAACTGCTGTGAAACCTAATGTAATCCTCCTTTTGTAGCAGTGTTTTCTAAGGCGACTTAGTTCCTTTAAAGTGAATGCCATTTACATGAGGTCTACATTATGTTGTCCAGCCCCTGTTTTGCATTCACGGTCAACTGTGTCATTGTTTCCCAGCTTACTTGGTGGATACTGTGTCTGCAGCATCTAGACTTGTTATGACATTTTTATAATGTGATCAACTCACAAGACCCGTGTGGCTTCAAGGCTAACAACTGCAGAAACCCTGGAACAAATGGGAACAATTTCTTTGCTGTCAGCTGATGAACGATTACAGCTATTTGCTATCATTAGTGAGTGCATGACTAGTTATAATGTTGAGTTTATTTGTCTTATTATTAAATATTATTATTAGAGTGTCCAAACAGTGTTTTTCCCTTTACAAGGGGGGTTCTGGCTTTAAATCTCAGTCCAGAGGGCTTTATAAAACTTTGCATAGGATCCATAGCAAAGGTTTTTGGCGACAAAAACAGTACTGTACACATTCTGCATGCAATTTTTGCCTTATAAATCACAATCAACTTTAAAATGTGCGCGCTTAGACAAGCCTCATATTTCTCACTCCCACAGTACACCATAAATGGTCAATGCAGAGCCCTCATGACTATTAATATTCTGTAATTGGGAGGATGGCAGCAGTTTTACAAACAAAATAAAGTTTGAGAGGCTGATGGTTGCAGTTCTGTCAGCAGTCATTTCAACAAACAGGACATTTCCTGAAATGAAACGTGATCAGACAGTGGATGCTAAAAAGTGCACTGCTGCAGGCAAGAACACACCAGAGCACACCGCTTCATATTTGTAAAGCATCTATAAACACGCCTGATGAGACTGTACACTGAATATTTGTCAAAAAAGAAACACTGTATTTTAATCCTGCATGCAGTATACATGTGCTTGGCCCCTGTCCAATGAAACAAAACATTTTGAAAATTAATTTAAATTGCATTGGTGGAAAATACATAGCAGTATTCAGAGATTTTATAAAAATGTCCAATGCACTGTTCTCTAGTTGTATAAAGTTATTTCATGCACTCTTTTTTTTTAGGCCTAATTGATGATTAAATGTAGCTGTAGGCTGATGTGCCCCTCTGGACCAAATAAATACATAATAACTACAATTATTGCATGTATTATTGCTGCTGCTGTTATTCTGGTAATTCTTATTATGAGAGAATTACCCACCATCCTCCTGTTTAATGAGGGATGACATCATTGTCTGAGCCGTTTTTTGACTAGAATTTAGCTTAGACCAATAAAACCTGTTCACAGTGACCTCCTGTTATCCTCCGTAGCAGGGACATGCTGAAAAAAGACACTGCTGTTGTTTTTCAAAGATAACTTCCATTACCCTCGATTGGAGAAGTATAAGCAGAGGTTACAGACACGGATATGGCAAAACCTCAGCTAAAAAGCAGAAGAAACTAAGACTGTATGCCACATTAAGCTACCACTAGGTGAAATTCGGGTGAACCTTTAGGAATCTTTAAGGTTTGGAGAAAGTTTCAGTAATTTCTCTAGAAGTGCAGCGGACAAATGTCATGCTAAGGAAAAAACATTTATTTAACCAGGTAAGACCCGTTGAGATCAACAATCTCTCTTCCAGGACAGCAGCAACAAGCGTTCGAGAAAACAACAATAAATACAATAAAGCACATAAGGTAGACATTAACATGTCGATATATTACAATACAAGCACCAATTGATGTATTCATCATTGTCCTTAGAGCTTTATTTTATGGTTTTATCACGTTGCATCAGATTTCCTGGAAGCCATAGTTGTTTAACTATGTTGTAAGCTAACTGCTGAGTGTGGTAAGCTGGCATTAATGTGGTTTTAATGAAGCTTGTGTTGCACAGCGTTTACAGTGACAGTACTGTCTAAAGAGAGAAGGCAGAATGGAAGAACTGTACAAAGCTGATACTAAAGCAGCACACAACGGCAGCTGAATCAGAATGATTGAAATGTCCAGTTCTGACTCTGAAGGAAAAAATGTGATGTTAAAGTGATAAAGGGTCTATAGACAGCCACCTTGACATTAAATAATAGGATAAACACAGCAGTGCTGTAGTCCTCGAGCCTGAGAACGGACTTGAGGACTTGTCTCTGACTATTCTTGGAGTTGTTCATCCATCTAAAAATTGACATTGTCCGCCTGGTAACCATGGTACCAGGCAACCAATTATCTCATTTGCAATGGAAAAAGCATTATTTTTATTCTGTCTCGGCCTTGACTCTGTCATTTGGACTTGGCCTTGGCTTGGACTCAAAAGGTTTGTTAATAGCTGACTTGTGCAATATATGTGCATTTTGAACAGCGTAAGTGCATATAGCTATTGAGGACAGTGGACGGCACAACAGTACAAAAGCTGCCATGCTGCTTTCATGTTTGAACCTGAGTAGGAGTAAGCAGAGGTATGCAGGAAAAATAGGTGCATGACTTTAAGTTGTTAGCCTCTTAAACCCAATCCAGTTAAATCCATCAGTCTGGCACCAGCCCTTATAAACCATCTCAGCTGAAACCTTGAGGAAAGTATCTCTTTGTGATGTCTTTATCGTTGTAATATTTCTCATATCAGGCACAGCTGCTTTGATGTTGTTTTATCCTGCAGAATGGTCAGCCATCTTTGTTGGATTACACCAGTGACATTTATGGAGGAGGATTTATGGGTGTGAACGGGCCCTATCAGGGAGCTCAGTAACTTTAGAGTTGCATTTGATGAGCGCAAGAGAACAGTTATGTTTATGGAGGCACTGAACACTCCAGGGAAAATCTGCAAATAGTATCTGTTTGGAGCTAATTACACAGAGATCCGACCACGTACAACCTCATTTCCATTGTTGTAATGAGTTTTGAACAACAATAGCGTCACTGCATCGCTGGCTGCTGAGATATTAGGATTTAAAGTTCCCCGTTTGAACCCCTACTGTGTTTTGGAACAAAAGCACATTTTATGTTGAATACACAGATGACTCAAAGTGCCAAAAAAAAATAGCTTGTCGGCACAAAAGGACTGTTGTGGTTCAATTTATTACAATGTTTGCTTTTTGAAATTAAAGAACTAAGGGGGGTTTTCTCTAATAAACACCCCTGGGTGGGGCTCTATATAATCACTGTCTCTATAAATCCATACATACTTGCAGATGTTCATCTATGTGAATGTTGGAGCCGTTCTTGGAGACACGGAGCAGTAAAAGCAGCACTGCAGCAGCTGTTTCCAGTTAAATCTCCCTGTGAGGAGTAGGAAGGTGTACATGCCAGAAAACAAAGCAGCTCCAGCAGACATCATTTACTTTTAATTGCTTGTGATATTTTCTTTGTACCTTTCCACTTAAACGATTCCCCGTGGGAGGAAGCTGCTAAGCTGTCTGGATGGCAACGGGCAGTGAACTGGATTAATGCAAGATTATTTATTTACACATGTAAATACAGCATGTATTTGTCCTCCTTTGCTCATGCATGCTGCGTTTTTTGGATGTGCAGCAGGCAATTAAGTGAAAGTGAAGGAAATGGAGCATAATGGACTGCAGACCGGCATCCCATTTATTTTGATAAAATAAACCCAGCTCTATAGACCATTGAACATGTTATATTATTGATTTCATCTTTTGACCAGTTATCAATGGTTTTGATTTGAATGATAAACAGGATTATAGCATAATGAAGAAATTTTGATAGAAGATAAAGAATACTCAAAATATTGTAGGTTAGATGGTTTACAGCCTAAACCATCTAACCTACAGTAAGATGATCATATATAGACAGACATTCAGAGAATATTGATACTTTTATTAAGATTCTCATATTTATTCTATTCAGATTCAAATCTTAAACCTTGGTTGCTAAACTTCATTTGGAGTTGTGTTTCTGGCCACCTGAAGTCCAATATTCACTGTCCTTTTAGCTTGGTTGTAATCTCCAACTCCTGAGGGAAATATCTTTGTGTCTGTTTGTTTGGTGCTGGACAGATATTGTACAGTGGGTTTATTGCAGCCACCTGCAGCATCTGAAAACAGTGTCAACGAGAACACTGAGAATGAACCAGAACAGAAGGTTCAGGCCGTAAAACCAAAACGATGAGGTGAAAGTCTCTAAAACGTGCTATCTAGCTAAAGGGAATTGCTGAGTTGGGTGAAAATTCCCTGTGGTTTTGTCACTACCAACTTTCACTTTACACATCATTTGATTCTTTGTTAATATTAAAATATTGTTTATTGCAAACATTTCTGTAACGAGTGAGAGAACGCAACCCTAAGAAGTTCTTGAAAAACAAATAACTCCTTCACAAATTACAATTCAGATTGTGTCTTATGTTATGTAACCATCTTTGTGCACCAAAACATCTTTAATTTAAGTGTTATTTAATCTAATGTCAAATCATAGGATAAACAGTCTCTTCTGTCTTTACACTGCTTTCAAAGGATCTTGCATAGATTATACTGGTTTAGTGAAAAGCAGAACACATGGATTTGGCTACCTAGTAAATCTTGGATTAAACTTGCACTAAAGTGCAGCTTTTTGCTACATTTAATACATGTATATGTAGCCAACACACTTAAGAAGATTTTGGCATTCTCATTGAATGGCATGTTTGTTGTGTGGTGCATCCTGGTGGCTATTTAAATATACTCAGAAAACGCTATTAAATTGAGCATATTGCTCACATGAAGGGATTGAAGTCCAAGCTGGAAAGACAGTGTTGTACACATATAGTACACAAACTTCTGCTGACAGAGAAGGGGCAGTGTTGGCCCGACAGTCTTTGGCCAGTCCAGTGTGTCCTTGATGTTCCAGTGTCTGCCAGTAAACACAGAGAGCCACACATAGTGTCAGGCACCGAGTCAAACCGAGCGACTCGGGGCTCCGACCGCTGCAGTGGTGAGCCAGGCTGAGTAAATGAAAGAAGTAAATAAGGCGTTTGTGCCACGAGGAGGCCAAGCTGAACTGGCTGACCCGTGGTTTTATTAAGGCAGTATGCGGATGGCAAGGGATGGACCATGATTAAGACCTCCAGAGGAGAAGTATCTGTAAATACACTTTCTCACATTCAGAGAACTTAGTAGGTCTTGGCTCTATGTAGATGAGCAGGATTTCTGTTCCTCTTGGATAACTTTTACATTATACATTCTGCCTTGTATTTCTCAGTATGGCCTCCTAGGGCTGACTTAAAAGTAATACAAAAGTTCCACTGCTGTCACTTGAGTCAGTGGCAGTTGGCTCTGAAGACTCGGTGGTGCCCCATGTACCAAGACTGAGCTGAACAAACTGAAAGGTCCTCATATTAATTCTGTTTTGTATAACTTTGGTCTTATTTTCATCGTTTTGGCTATCATTTCTATTAGTTATGATAATAATAAGATGCTGGATTTAACAGATGTTTAGCATTATGCATTTCTGCTTGGAAATGATCAAACAATTATCAGAATAGTCATAGATTAATTTTCAACTGATTCATAATTGCAACACTGTTTTTTGGAGGTAAAAAGGAAAGAGAACCTACCCAAAATGTCAGTAGCTGACCTTCATTGCACATGGAAACAATGTGCACACAAGTGTGGTCAATCAAAGATGAAGCAAGAAGTCAGATGGATGTTTGGCTTATAATTTTACCATTTATCATTGTTTTCGCCTACAAATACGCTGGGCCTAAGGGTTTGTTTGAAACCTGTCTGATTGCTCGTGTTTTTTCCTTAGTCTTTTTTTCCTCATCATTCTGGACGCATTTCCAAATCTTAGCAATTAACTTGAAGAGTACAGTGATATTATAAATTATGGCCCAAACTGTGTAAACTGGAATTATCCTTTAAAAGTAGACTTGTGATAGCTTCACCTGTTATTACTGATAAATAGTTCCTTTTGTCTAATTCTTATTTTCCTTTTCACTGTAGGTTGAATCACCAGTACAGGTGATCCATCAGGGCCGACGGGAGGTGTTAGAAGAAGCCTGCCGCTCCTACACCCGCAAACGCAGAGTCCTGATCCCGGAGGACCTGAAACATGTCATCGTGGACGACCAGCACGGCTTGCTGTACTGCTACGTTCCCAAAGTGGCCTGCACCAACTGGAAGCGGGTGCTCATGGTTCTGACAGGTGTCACCGGGTCCCTCCGAGACCCACTGGCGATCCCCGCCAATGAGGCCCATGTCCCAGGAAACCTCCGCACTCTGTCAGAGTACTCCACCTCCCAGATTAACCAGCGCCTGCGCTCCTACCTGAAGTTCGTGTTTGTACGCGAGCCCTTCGAGCGACTGGTGTCTGCGTACCGCAACAAATTCACACGGAGCTACAACACAGCTTTTCATAAACGATACGGCACAAAGATAGTGCGGCGTCACAGGCCGGACCCACAGCCAGAAGCTCTGGAGAGAGGAAACGATGTCTCCTTTGAGGAGTTTGTGTATTACCTGGTGGACCCCGCCACCCAGCGTGAAGAGCCATTTAACGAGCACTGGGAGCGGGTGCATTCGCTGTGCCACCCCTGCCTCATCCACTACGATGTGGTGGGTAAATACGAGACGCTGGAGCAGGACTCCCGCTACGTGCTACAGCTGGCCGGGGTGGAGGACCAGGTCAGCTTTCCCACCTCGTCCAAGAGCACCAGGACTACAGGAGACATGGCGGCCCAGTTCTTCCACAACATTAGCCCCTTCTACCAGAAGAAGCTGTACAACCTCTATCGAATGGACTTCCTGCTCTTCAACTACTCTATACCAGCCTACCTCAAATTTAGATGAGGCTGGGTTTTGACTTGAACTCATGGAGCTTGGACTTCATTGTAGGCCTTAAATGGACACTGCAAATACTGTTGAAACTGTATATTAATTAGGAGCCCCGCAGACAGAACATCAGGCTAAAGAACTTCTGTGGACAGGAGAGGACATTTCATCTCAAGATGAAAGTTGTTGCCTAAAGAAGGCAGATGATATTTTACTGTAAGCGGTGATCCAGTGGATGTCGGTCACTGCCTTTGAATGTGTGTAATGCCATTCAATTTTTGGTTCAATTTCGGTTGTTGTCTGCTGTTAAAAAAAAATTATTTGCACAACAAATGTAATCTCTACAAGGTGCAGTAGCATAATTAAACTATTAAAATCCTTTTTAGACAGTGAATGTCTCCAAACATATGTGCCTTTGAACATGGGCCTTTTTTTCACTTCAGCAGACAATGGCAACTTTTGTAACTGTGACTGTTTATTTGTTGATGTAGGAAGAGATTTTTGTGTAACTATGATATTGTCTTAATTTATTGTGTTATTTTTGACTCTACAAAGTCAGACAAACCAAAATAGGTATATAGTTTCTCTCACCATTTTCAAATAAATGCATTTCAGGAAGAATTTGTTTGTTGGTGTGAAGTTCTGAAGGCAACAATCCTGATATACTGATATTCTCCAGAAGACAGCAATCATGACTCACATGTCAGTCTTTTATTTCAATGACAAATCATGGTTGCAAAGATGTCATCTAGACGTTTTTACAAATGTGAGCACTACAAAGTCCGATCAAGCTTGATGTCACTGTGAAAATAGGATTATTACCATCTTTGGATACTATTTTCAGATCAGTAAAGACAATCTTTCTAAAAGTGCATATCAAACAATTGAAAAGGCCAAGTACAGAGAGATCCATACTGAATTATTTGTTCACAAAAATAGCACAAAGAAAATATCTGTACTGTTAATACCTGGAACACATACTAACGTAGAGACAGTTAAGTACAACAGGCTATATTCAGTGGCACTGTGCTGCACAAAAAATGAATATCCTGTAGAAATTTGGCAACACCAAACTTAGAGTCCATAGGAACACATCAGAGAACTGAAGGCTTATCACGGTTTAAAGGCACACATCTACATAAAATAAACACAATAAAATCTAGCATTCATCCAGACAGTGCAGCATGTGATTTATGTTGAATACATTTACACTCAATTCTATATTATTATTGCCTTAATACAATCATTTGCCATCTAACATTTAAGAGCTGACAATAGGTATACAGATGTGTCAACAGGTAACAATACAGTGGTTTCTTCAATATTCCCACTTGTATCCCTTTTAGATGGATGTTGTTTGTACAGTGCCAAGCTAGGTGGTGTTGGTATTGAGACAAGTACAGCTCCAGGGAACAGTGTGCAACTACTGATCACAGTGAGCTGGCAAATATGGAGACCAAAGTGCAAAAGAAGTCCACACTTTCCTCACCCTATTCTTTCTGTTTTGATCCTGCTTGTTTCTGCCTCTGTTTTTACAACTCCTTATATATGGTGTTATATTTGAGCCTCAATCTTGAACACAAAAGGATATTTTGAGCACAGATTTTTTTGTTTTTTTTTCAAGTACGTAAAGGACAAGTGTGTAGGATATGGTGGCATCTGGCGGTGAGTCTGCAGATTCCAACCAACTAAAACCCCTTGACTCAACCAAGAATATAGGAGAACATATAGTATATGGATGGAAAATGCCCTATCTAGATCTAGTGTTTGGTTGGTCTGTTCTGGGCTACTGTAGAAACATGGTGGACTCTTTAGAAGAAGACCCACTCCCTCTGTAGATCCATAAAAATGTCTCTCAGTGATTCTTATTTTTAATTCAATTCAATTTCAATTAAATTTTATTTGTATAGCGCCAATTCATAACAGAAGTTATCTCAGGACACTTTTCAAATAGAGCAGGTCTAGACAGAACTCCTTTAATCAGGTGATTACACACTAATAAAAACATGAATTATGTATAAATACCAACATATTATATTACTATTACATATATTAAATACATATTAGATTATATTATACTAGAATATTATATTTAATATCAAAGATCTTCGTAAATGTTACAGACTGGACCTTTAAATTATTATATTGGAGAAATTATTACCACACAAAAAAAATACTGTGCTCAATAAATGTATATGCTATTACAGTATCTATGCAAGAACACAATAATAACTTCTGGCACTGAATTCCGCCCATTTCCTCTGTAATTGTCTGCCAGATTTTGCCTAAATTAGCTAGTTGACTAAGCATTTTAAAAGCGTGCTATGAGGTGATTAGTAATAAGTCAGCTAGCTATAGAAATGCACACTAGTCAGGGTTTTAAACATGTTTTACAAGCACTTTTTCTGCAGTTAAAACATTGAAGGGCACTTTTTTAAAAGGAACTATGAATATAATGCTGCTATAATTTGATAATTTGCTTGCACAAAATGTTTCTGTCCCATTGCACGCACAGTACTGAGGCACAAATATAATGCCATGCTTACCACCTGTGATCTTATCCTCACGTTCCTTCTTCAATCAAATGAACTTTGCAGTATGTTTCAGCCACTTGCATATAAAGAACAGTACATTTATGGTGTGCACGACCTGTCTGTGTCAAACTCCAGTGCCAGTAGAACTGACCATCAAAATCAGTCTGAAACTCAGAGCCAGGAAGCCAGTCCCCAACAGGTCACCCAGAGCTGTGAGGTAGGGGATGGAGAAGTTGTCTGGATCCAGTCCCCTTCGCCATAGCCATCGCACCATCAGGCTGGCCGCATAAAGCAAAATCACCACCTGGATAATGACAACAGGTGGATTCGTTGCAGAAGAGAATATCTCAGATTGACGTAAAGACTCCATTTTAATTAAGTCTTGTAAGAGTACACAAACTTGTATCGGTTTATCTGACCTGAAGTAGAGCTGCAGACAGGTAGCAGATGATAAACGTGGACGTCATAGCAGTATGGCCTCCCTGCAGGAGGTGGATGGTGTACAGGAAGAGGAGGTGACCTGGGACTACAAGGATGGCCAGGACTCTGGCTGATTTGGAGTTCACTTCTGGAGAAACACAGAATGAGTAGTAACAAGCTGTGTGTACTCCACTTTTGCTGTATGCTGGATTCAGTTCAGTTCAAACCAGACTTATTTCAAACGAAACACTTATTTGCTTTCTTACAGAGAGTCATTTCTGTACAAAAGACTGAAAAACTGTGAAACAGCTAGCCTAGCTCTGTTTGAAGTTAACTGTTTCCTGTCTTTATGTTAAGCTAAGTGTTTCTGGTCTCCTGAATGTAAGTTAATAACTCCCTCCTTTTAACTCTGGTTTGGTCTCCACTGACTCCTTAGGTGAAATACTGGATGTGGCTCTTAAACTGTTTAATACTTCCTATATTATTCACCTTCTATCCACTAACTTTATCGGTCCAGCTGCCTGTCGTTTAGTGCTGGGCAGTTTACTGCTAGAAATATGACTATAAATAGATGTATCACAAAACCAAAATAATTAGTAAAACAGACTCAGTTGGACTGCAGACAGTATTACCAGCTATTTTCAATGGACAGTAGCCAAAGCTGCTGCATATCACATGTGTAGTCATTTGATTCATTATCAAAGAAAATATTGATTAATGATACTGTCACATGTTGACTTGGTAATTATTTCTTGATGAGGGGCTACACTCGTACACAGCACCTGTGTGTATTTTCTTTCTGTATCTGACCTGAGGAGCAGAAGGTGGCACAGGGTCCAGGACAGTTGCCACTCATTTTAGATGGAAGAGCTCCAGGAACGCTCCAGTAGTGGAGGTAGGTGGACATCCTGCTGGCCTGGATGGCCACCAGATTTCCCCCTACACCTGCATGGATGTTGAAAAGTGTAGCGCTGATCAATTCTATAATAAACATTTAATAAAACTAGGAATCAGATGAAGAAAGTCCATTTCAAGATTGGACTGAACATAGCACAGTTGAAGGTAGGAAGGAGATAAATACGTTTTGGAACTTTTAAACTGTTTTTCATACCCAGATTAAACCATGATTTTTGTTTTTACAGTATGTTTTTACAGAGCCCTGGAGGGGCCATATAGAGAATAATATACAGTATATCAACACCATGTTTTACAACGAATGCTTGAAAAGCTATTGTGTGTGCACAAGATACAATTAATTCCCATGTTTTAATTCTTTGTGCGCATGAGACAAGTGAGCCAGCACAACAGACCAGACCCAAGTTCATTGACATGGACCTTTACTCTGCAGTGTTTATATCTAACCCTAATATACCTTTGAGCAGAAGGCTGATACAAGCCATGATCTTTTTGGAACGTTGTCAGTAAATTGAGTGAGGTTTTTTTTGGCAAAATGTGCGTTGATAGCCTAAATGTCATAATGACTCCTTATAACTAATCCTGTGATTTTAAATTTAAAAAGTACATTCACCATTCCCTTATATTTACTGTACGGTTTACATTGCAATCCCTGTCACAGTCGCACATTATAACAACCCACAACAAAAACATTCATTATTAGGGGCGGTGGGTTATTGCATGGTCTGTGTTTAACTGCAGCTAACACTTTTCAGGTCATATTGTTTTACCTGAATGTTTGCTTTGAAGCACAACTGGGTAAGTGCTTTGTCTTAGAAGAACAAATTGTATCTTGTGCCCATGAATTAATGGAAACGTGAGAACGAATTGTATATCTTGTGCACCAGTAATAGCAGTGCTCGATGGCATAAAATGTGGCCTTGATATAATGTTTGTTTTTTTCTCTCTGGGGCCACTCCAGGGCTCTGTATGTTTTAATATTTGCCAGATGTGAACCTCTCATAGCATATAGCAAAAATTGAATCTCCATCAGCCATTGTTTATCCATTGTTCTCTTATCATCTTGCAGCCATACAAGAGGCTGAGCAGTTACTGTAGAATATGAGTAAACATTCTTGAAAACTGATTCACTGTTCAAACACTAATTTTGCTTAAAATCTATTCAGCAGTTATTCCTGACTCACAGGGTCCCACAGGTCTTTTTTCTCTGAAAGCTTGGAAAAGGCAATCTGGATGTTGTTCCATATTCATTGTAACACTGCTGCTCTCCCCTCAGGCTGATTTCATTATAGCAGAACAAAACCTCTTGGCTTTCAGAGGCTTGAAGCACATGGATCATTGAAACAAAACAGGAGGGGGGTTTCTGGCAGTGGTGGAATGTAACTAAGTACATTTACTCAAGTACTGTACTTAAGTATAAATTTTATGTACTCGTTTGTACTTGATTATTTCCATTTTATGCCACTTTATACTTCTACTCCACTACATCTCAGAGGGAAATATTGTACCTTTTACTCTTATCTACATATTATACAGTTTTACAACTGTAGTCACTTTTTACATAAAAAAACATATGATACGTTTATATGATATGATGCAGTACTATAATCTACCCGGTAGTACTAAAGTATATAAAGTAATAAATCTAAAATTTTAACTTTTAAAGAAGTATTTTACCACTGGAAAGGAGACAAAGGACAAAGGTATTCCCTTTTGCTCAAATGGTAGAAATCCAACAACAACCAGAATGCACTGGGCCTTACTATTAAAAACTCCCTTCTGGTGAAATACTGAGTCCGCTGCAAAAAATGTCAACTTTGTTGCAAATTTTCTCATTTTACACCCAAACAGTACACTAAAACAGTGGTCCCCAACCTGTGGGACGGGGGTCCCATTGGGGGTTGCCAAAGCTTCATGAGGGGGTCACTTGACCTTCTTAATTTTAGGACTTTACTATTTCTCAGCATTTGGTTCTGTGAAGAAAAGAAATTGTTCAATTAATTATCTAATAGAACAATATCCAAGCGCCAGGGACAAGAAAACACAGAATTTGTCACAAAAGAAGTTTGTATCATTGTTCTTGCAGTTAATGACTTTTTCTGGCAAATAAGTGGGGAGCACTGGGTGCAGGCAACATGCTTATTTGCATATAGTTGTTCATTTGCATTGATTACATACGTTTCCCTTTAAGTAACATTTTGAATTTGGGACTTTCTTAGACTTATTTTAGAGTATTTTTAGACTATTTTATTTGTATCTGTACTTAAGTAAAAGATCTGAACACTTCTTCCACCACTGATTTCTGGTCACCAGGGCAGGGGAGAGTGCTGAATTGGAATGCAAATGCACTTCCTGTACTGGGATGGCGATACATGCCAGAATCTTTGGTAGCACTGAGGCTGGCAGAGATGCTGCACAAATGGGAGCCAGTGAATGCATAGTTGGCATTCTGATCAGGCTTGTGGTTTATGTAAAGACCATTGTTATTCCTCTCTACTTAGTATGCTGCTTTGTGGGAAACAAACTTCAGTCAGTGAAGATCTGGCCATATATGCCTATCTGAGGTTCCTCTGACAGGGAGGAGACTGCTTAACTTCAGCAACACTTTAATGCTCAATGACTGATTAGCTTAAATTTGAGGCCCTTTTGAATGATAATGGGATTAGCTGCTGGGCGTCTGCATGCTCCAACAATTTCCACATTACATCAGTTGGCATGAGGCTTTATTGATTGATAATAATGAAGCTAATTATGAAGCTTAAATGCCATTCTTCAAAGATTAAGACTGTTGAAACACCATAACCCCAAATCCCAGCTCTGCTCACTCCCTCAGGAAAACATGTCAGTGTTAATTTCTTTGCTCAGAGCATGTGGAAGAAATGTCACAAATGGTTTCAGCCTCAATTAAAGGGATTATATCTGCAACAAGATCTATTTTAGGCAATAGTAATCAAAGTTATCATCCTAATTTTATCACTTCATTTGCTTCTAAAATGAGGACATCACAGTGTAAAAATATTTAGTTTCAAGTAAAAATCATGCATTCAAAATAATATTCATTAACAATGTGGAAGTACTATAAAAAATATACTTATTAATGGTCCTGTCAGTGTTATATTGTTATATATTATGAATTTGTTACTTCTGATGCATTTACACACCGTTTATTTCATCATTCATTAACTGTTTTTACACCAATTACCACCACCAAAGTTATAACTGTTGACAATTACATTTAATGAACATTATGTGTTATAAACCATTTATTTAAAGGGGCCACAGAACCCATGGCCGCTGCAGCAAGGACCCTTGGTACATGAGGTGCCAGCTCTACCAGGTGAACTATTCAGGTGCCCCATAAACCATTTATTATGTGTTTATATAGGCTTTTTATGTACTGCTTACTGTACTGCTTGTACCAGTAAATCTGATGGAGGAAATAATTTTTGCATAGAGTTTATCTTCCACTCACCATTGATGACTGGAGTAAACACTGCCATACCCTCATAGTTTGGATTGCTCACTGTCTTATCCAGAATCAGACCACCAATACTAGGAAGAGGACAACAAACAGTAAGTGAGTCTGAGTGGGACGCCTGTGTAAATATCTATTACATTCTTACACTTTATTGATTTATTTAAATGAAATACACATATACTTTAATATTTTAAAACACTTGAGAGCAAGGAATGTTGTAAAGTCGTTGGACCCTCTGGCGTCGATAGTGTCACAGGTTGACTCACCTGCTGATGGACATGGCCAAAATGACAGGTTGCCAGCCTGACTTTAGGACCTCTCTGATCTGTGGAGAGCGACGGGCAATAATGACCCACGCTGGGATAAGGAGCAGGAAGAAGCCACACACAGCAGGAGGCAGGTACCACATGTCTGGAGAGCAATATAGCACAGGACACATGTCAAAATGTTTGATTACACTCTTGAAATAGTATAGAAAATGGTGTTTCAATAGTAATGGGAAGACTTTTAAAATGTCTTCAAGATTAACTGCTGCTGTCTGGAATCAAAGGTGGACTATGCTGCCCTCTTCTGGCTGAAATCCTCCTCAGTCGTCACCATAATACTGTTGCTATGTATGAAGTTGCATCAAGTTTTGTTCAATTTGTGCAACGCGTCCGTTTTGTATCAGTTAAACCATCTGAATTAGGCTTCAACCTCTTTGTCCATGCATGTCACTGGTGCAGACAAACAATGTACTTAAAGAGACTCATGGGGCTTTCTTGATGTACTATCATGTGTGACCTCTGACCTCTGTAACAGAAAAAGGAGCTGCTGACCCCAGCAAGCAGAGACAGAGTGATGAGGTCTCCAAGGCTGGCGGCGATGGGCGTGGCCACATTATCCGGGTTGATACCCACTTTCCTGGATCCAATAATCACTGCCACCATCACCAGACCTGACAAAGCAAAAGATGTTCAACACACTAAGCTCATAAACTCTCCTGTCCTCAGCGTTATACCCTACTGCATTCCTCTGCAGCAGTGTGTGCCTTTGGCTGACCTAGAGACAGTGCAGCGATGAATGCAGTGGTGACGCTGCTGGCGCACAGGACTGCAGCCTGGGTGACATCCACTCTTCCCCTGGTCAGACCCCCGAGACCCACAGCTGCAACCGCTGCCAGGAAGCCCACAACTGTGGCCTGGACCTGGGGATGAAGGACAGAGGGAATAGATGTGAGGCTTATATCTCATTATCTGTCCATCCACCCATCTCTTTACTCTTGTATCTCTCCGTCTGTCGCAGAGAGAAGAGAAAGCAAGGGGACCAAACATTTTGAAGAAGATTTAAAAGAGAAAGAGAGAAGAGAAAATATATGTATATAATATATATACGACTTGAATGGAGCCTCAGCCTTGTTAAGCTAAATAAATAAAAGTTGGTTGATTCAGAACGGCATTGACAGCATTGAAAGCATTATTGCTTTAGGTAACAGAAGTTAACCGGCTAATTCTGGTAGCAGTTACTGAGCTTGCTAGAGTGAGACGTGACATAGTCATGAAAAGTGACATGATGAAACAATAAGGGACATGGAATAAAAGTATTATTAAAATGTAAAATGCCAAAAAAATAAAAACAGTCCTTTTAAAACACATTTCATTTTAAAATTCCCTTTTATGAATTTCTATAAAACTGTTAAAAAATGAATGATAAAAAAACATTTCATAATGAAAAATAAAGAATCTTAACATGATAGCAGTAACATACTGTACCTGATCTAATCTCAAATCTTTTTCGATTTCAAAATTAAAACTATTTATACCATCGGCTATGGTTTTAGACTGAGGTAACCTTTTAAGTTCTTTATCTGAACATTAGTTTCAGTTTTAGCAGTGAATCTGCCAGTTCAGTTCTACTTTTTAAAAAACACATATTGAGTTGCAACGCCAAATTTACATAGGAAAATATAAATTAGGAATGATAAGAGTTGTGCATTAGCTTTCAAAGAATTACTTCTCTTCTGTATCTTCAAATTTAACTCACTACTTTTCTCCATGTCGCTGCCACTATAAGGCTTTTAGAAGATATAAGGATTTTAGATATAAGGTCTGAGGTACTACTGATTTGAAAACTCCCAGGATATTGGTGAAATGCCTTAAAAGTAAACACAAAATATATGTATTTACCTAATAAAAATAATGTTTCTGCAGGCAATGGAAGAACCAGCCCTGTCTTTTGATTTCATGCTCTAATATCTTATCATAATTACCGTTTGGAACCATCTCCAACCGTTATCTTGTGGGTATAATTGGCCGAGAAGCATTAGTGAAGTCTTTTGAATGGGAGGACGATGTTATCACACCAGCAAAGCTTCCTGAGTTAAACTGAATTGCCTTGAAGCCGGGGGAGATGGACTAAAGTGATGGAGTGTTATTAATGGAGAGTGTGCGGTAGAGCGGTGTGTCACCTGAATGAGAGCCAGATTACAAAACACCATCCTCCACTGCTGCTGGGCCTCATCCATCTGCCCAGTGTTGGCCTGTGGACGGAAACAAGTTGACGTCATCACCTTGCTCAATCACGTGGTACTGGGAATGAGTTGTTAAGTGTCACGGTGGAAATGTAATTCCTAGAAGATAGTATGTCAAATTACCCTGACAAATGTTCTGATTTGTCCACAGTGTGCATAGCTAATGAGTAATTATCACTCTGACTGCAGTCAGGAGATTGCCTGCAGAGTGAAAGTCATATGATTTGATAATGAATTCTTATCCATGGATGCTGAAGTTATAGCACTTAATTCCCAAAGTATAGTTCCCCTCCTTTTGTGTGGAACAGTTTGCTGAGAGACTGAATATAGCCTCATATTTTCTCAATAATCAGTGTTTCCTTTTTGTTCCTACAGTGTGCTGTTTGAATGCTGTCTGTGCAGGGTTAGACACTAGAAGGATGTTTTCACATTCATCTGCTGAAAGTGGAAAGTTTCTGTTTGCTCACTAAGAAAAGAGATTTTAAAGGGTGGGGCCTACAATCATGATTTGTGACATCACAAATAGTCAGTGTGCAACTTGTACAGTGTGATGTAGAAAGTTGAACCACCAGTGCACATTCACTGAGAATGGACTTTACAGTGAAGTAGGAGACATCTGGTGTCTAGAAACGAACAACATTTGCACATTTAGAGATTCTGGGATTTTTGGAGGGGATGTTTAAGGACGAAACACAAACTCTACCTACAGTATGTACACAATTAACCAACTGGGCTAGGAAGTTGGTGCCATACTATAAGTGTAAAATGTATTCAATATTAAGATTTTTACAGTTGTATACATTGAAAATAATTGTCAGCATGTCTTCCTACTGTGTGTGTGTGAGAGAGAGAAGAGAGAGAGAGAGAGAGAGTTTCCACTCACTGCTGTTGACAGTCTGGATGCCAATGTCATTTCCAGATTCCCCTTCAGCCCCACCAGGGCTGGCACCAAGATAAACACCTCGGAGATCTCTTTAAACACCTCCCAGTGCTGTAAAACACCACAATACTCTTTTAATGAACCTTCTGCTCCCAATGAGCTGTTCAAATACACAATGAAATTACGCTGCAAAAATACTTTTCAACAGTATTCAGCTTAGGGTTGTTCTCGTTTAAAGCGGCAATAATGTGTTTTTGGCCACTTGGGGGCAGCAGAGGTTCTGAACACAACATTGACATATAAGGCATTTGCTTATTTACACAAAGTTTGTGTAAATAAGCACAAAGTGGAGCAACATTCATTTGAAGTTGTGTCCAATATTCACTCTATTATAGCTCTGTTTTCGGTCTCCACCAAAAGGGAAATACCCGGCTCATTAGCTGCTAAATGCTGTCTGTCTGCTGCTTGGTGCTGAGCGGGTAGTGTACAGTGGGTTTTTAGTGCTCTTTCTCTAAAGACAGCTGCCTGCTGCGGCTGAAAACAACACTATGAGATTGGTGAGAGTGAGCTGCAGCCGGACAGCTAAACAATGAGCTGAAAGTCACTTTAAAGCTCCATAGAGGAGAGCAGAGCTGCAGATTCAGCTGATAATTCTCTGTAGGTTCATTACTATGACACCTCCACTGTTTCACATTGTCATTTGATACATTGTTATAAAAATATAAATTACAGCTGCCTTAAAGAAATTGAAAGAACCTACCAGTCATTGTCAGTGTTTCTTTTATTCAGTGCACTGAAAATGTCCATTTCAATGTTGAAATACACCACAATGAGCCTCAGAACATTTGCAGGTAGAAAATGACCTCCTTAAAACCTATTTGCTCAATCAGCTTTTAACTACTATACTGGGTTCTTAATATAAAAGTATAACAAGCTCCAAATGACTAACCATGTTTCTTATCCCCTCTCACAGGCAGCAGAGAATTTAGACAATCTGAATGATCTGACCAGTGAGTGCTCAGTGATTTGATAAGTGTCTGTATTTTCATGTATTTGTGCATCTGACGAAACCTGATCCGTCAGCTTTTTATGCTTCGACTAGCCGCTAGCCGACCTGCTGCATAATTCACGGTGTCAGTCATGTTGTGCCGCTGGTGAGGTATTTACAAGGGGTTAGACAGGGACAGAGCTATTAGGTGGCTCTCTTCTATCTAACCTTTGTTCAGTTGTTTTTCTGTACAGGTACACTATCAGTCATGTCTTCTGTGAATATGAAAAGGCCAGATATGATCAGACATTCCTCAAGTGCTTTTTGTACTGTTTGCAGTTATCTTCCATAACTATTAGATCACAGATTTGTTGCCTAAGCATCCCATTCATCCTTTGTCTGTCTCTGTCTGCCCTCCAGCAACTCACTTCTACTGTAGCTCAAGGCTACAAGAACCACTGAACCCTACAGAAAACAGTGTAAAGTCATAAAACAGCGAACAACAACGAGAGCTGATATCCGTATGTAATCTCACATGCACATTTTTTTTCCCCATACTTGCACTATATCCATGACTATCCCAGCTGCCACCATGCCCAGGCCTGACACCAGGTACGGCAGCAGGACCTGGAGTGCGATGATCCACGAGCTCTCTGGCAGGAAGCCGTGGACCGAGCGGGTCAGTTTGCATGAGAAGCCCCTCAGCTTCTTGCCCTGGAAACGCAGCTCCAGAGCCAGATGGGTCACCACCATGGCTGATCCCTGTTAACCCATCCCTGCCTGGAAACTGTTGGTATGGTAGGGAGGGGTTTGCTCGTCCGCACCACACAAATCAGCTTTTTTGTTCAGTCAGTCAGGCCGATTTGAGAATGATCCGTTTCAGAGAGAAGATTTCCTGTCTTCACCTCACTCCAGGCTCCTTCAAAAGTCACAGGAGATGGGATTTATTTCTGAAAAGGGTTTTCCTTGGAGTAGTTTAGCAAAAAACAGCAACAAAGAGGGATTCAACAAGCTTGTTTTGCCCTTCACCTGTCACTCCAGTGCTGGTAGGGCAGCAACACAAAGTATTTTTGCAAATGGTGGACTAGGCGGAGGAAGCTGCTTTCATCCACTTAAATGGAGCACACACATACATGGATTCATTCACACAGACACACACACACACACACACACGGGTCCACTTGACAGCAGGTCTGTGAGGCCTCTTATGACACTCTGCTACTGACAGACCTACACACACACACACACACACACACTCATTACAGCCATGCACACACACTCCCTCTCCTCATGCCTCACTCTTCAGCAGCCGGGCGGCCGAGGCGGAGCGCTGGAAGCCCGGTCTCTCGCGGGGCCTGAAGAAGGTCCAGGTCCTATAGGACAAGGACATCCAGAAGGCCAGCAGCTTCTTCTCAGCCCTACTGTGCTGCCACTCTTTCTCCTCCTTCTCCCTCCACACCTCCTTCTCTTTCTCCTCGCCGCTGTGCTGATGCCCTGTGTGAGCTTGACCACTCTGGAGCCCCTTCCTCATTTTGATCAGGGGAACGCCGGGATGTCCGTCCAGGCTGCGAGCTGTGTGAGGGGACACTGATGGACGGTGTGATGTCGGACGCTTGTCTGTGTCCGTGCTGCTGCCAGGGCTTCCCTCTGATTCCAGACGGATAGATGAGTCGTGACAGAGCTCTGTGGTGGAGGGAGGGACAAGACGGAGGACAGTGTGTGTGTGGGTGTGTGTATGTGTGTGTGAGGGTGATGCTGCAGACGTCTGTGTATAAACAAGGTGACCCGACTGTTATCAGGACTCTTCTCTCTTCAGTTTTCCTCTTCCTCCTGGTCTCTTTTTAAGCCAGTTCAGAGGATACTGCAGATGAGCTCTCCCCCTCTTTAATAGCTCCTCCTTTCCCTGCTCTTCGATGTCCTCACTAGAAAGTGGGTGACGCACTCGGAGCAGCAGCAGGTGCTGTACCTGTCACCAACACGTGGTGCTGCTGCTGCCTGGAAAGGACACAGTTTATCCTCTTTGATTGGTAGAAACACACAGGCTGCCACTAACTGTCACCCCCTGGACTTTTTCAGTCTGTTCGGTTGGTTACGTCACTCTTTTGTCTGTTCTTGTCTTTCTCATGTCATTTGCTATTCCATAAATATCTGGCACAGAGATTAGAATCAATAGCCTTTATGTACACCTGAGCTGCTATTTAGGGGTTTGTGGCCTCTCCTTACTCCTATGTTCACTCTATATAAAGTAACACATGGGGGGAACATACGCCTGTACAGAATACTTAAGACCATATCACACACGCACACACGCAAGGGCAGTGACTCAGCTGAAAAGTGTCCTTGAGACATGGCTTGGAATGGGTGCTCTACTCTCTGCAGCTCCCCCTTCTGTCTTTCGGTTGGAATTTGAAGTGTGAAGCAACAGCTGCAAAAGATTTATGGTGTTTGGACACACACACATTAAGGAGATAAATCACTCGAGTGGAAACAGAGGAATTCCTCTTCTTGATAATCGACTTTTTGTCATATTTTGGGAAACTGTTGGTAAAAAGAAAAGCAGCTAGAAAGACAGGGGGAGACATGCATCAGTGTTTCCAGACAGGATCTTAACTCATCGCTGTCAAATATTATAGTGAGGCTAACAGTTTTTTCCAATTCCTGAACCTGTCATTACTTTTCTTATAATGCCTGTATTGGCCTCTGTCCAAATACGGTAGCAGCTGCAGCTTCTGTTAACAAGTGTCTCTGTCAGTGATGATTCACTGCAGCTCTCCTGTGAGTAACTGCTGAATTACACATCACAAAAAAGAAAATGGGAAAAGTCTTTTGATTCGAGTTCCTTTCCTTCGGTCTAAATCTGTGCCACATTTTCCATTGGACATTAGGGAGCCCCAACTATGATTGAATGTATATTTTTTGCTGTATATTTCGGAAATTATTGAAATTCAACTCATTTTTATAAAATAGCACATTTCATTTTAAAATGCCCTTTTACAGAAATACAAACTGTTTTTATTTCATTATGGAATTTTTCCAATTCCATGCTACTCTTTTCATTTATCATAAATTGGTTTTATAGTCATTTCTCCTGATCTCTTAAAGGTTAAACTCCCTCACTTCACCCCTTCTAAATGAAATGTCGAAACTACGGTGGCCGCACCAGAGTTTGGTTTGTCCGTTCTGGGCTTCTGTAGCGGTTCAACATGGTGGCCTCCATGAAGGAGACCTGTATATAAAAAGCTCATTCTAAGGCAAATACACAATTCTTATTTTCAGGTGATTACACAGTGATGAAAACATACTTATTAATATTATATAACGTTTTTTATATCACCTAAATTTAACACACTGGACTTTAAGCTAGTAACCTCGACAACTGCTACCAGAAATAGCCAGTTAGCTAGAGCAACAACAATGTCAATGTGATTCTGAATCAGCTATCTGCTTTATTTATGTAGCTAAACAGGGCTGCACATGCTACCTGCCTAGCTGGTCAGCTAGCTCGGTGGAGTTGTTAGCTACATTTCAAGAGGGTCCAACTGCAGACACAGCCACACTAAAAGTAAAATGTCTGAATATTACTGGGCAGATAGATGTCTCCCTCACCTGGTGCCACTCCCCTTTCCCTGTGTGTGTGTGGTATGGTGTGAGAGAGAGAGAGACGAGAGAGAGAGAGAGAGGAGAGACAGGTGTGCTGGAGTCAGAAAGCCACTCCAGCTGCATCTCATCGATGATCAAGACCTCAACAAACACTCTACCAGATCCAAGTCTCTGCATCACATCAGTCTGCACTGAAAGCCATTTCTTCATGTGAAAGGGTCCCCTGTTTCCTTCCTGGTCTGGTTCCAGCCCCTGTTTTCTTCCCGGTCTGGTTCCAGGCCCTGTTTCCTTCCTGGTCTGGTTCCAGGCCCTGTTTTCTTCCTGGTCTGGTTCCAGGCCCTGTTTCCTTCCCGGTCTGGGTCCAGCCCCTGTTTTCTTCCCGGTCTGGTTCCAGCCCCTGTTTCCATCCCCCCGTCTCATCTTGTCAGTCCTACCTCCCTGCCATGGATCCACACTCGTCCCAGCTTCCAGCCCAAGCTTCCCCAGGTCTTGCATTCCCTTTCCCTAGCCTTCAAATGAAATACTTAGCCCTGACACTAATATAAGAGATGTTTATGTTTTCAGGTTTATTCCAGAGGAGATATATATATTATTATATTACAGTCTGTTTTTCATGGTTTTATAGGGCTAAAATAAGCTAAATGTTAGCTTCACCAACATCACCTGTACCAAGGACGTGCTCAATGCCGGGCTAAAGTTGCGTAGGCAACAGCTCTAGCTGAGCTGCTTCTCTGGAAAATAAATGAAATAGTTTTATTTTTGCTCCTGTGGTTGCATAAATACGAGTAGCCCATAATTACTAAAGTTAGACCAAAGTAAATTGCCAATCAACTGTTATTACTGTTTGATATGATGATAATGATAAAATGATGCCCTATGCCGCGTCATGTGACAACGTAGCATCCATACTTGGTGTTGTTTCCGTTGTGTGAGGACTCTTTTGAAGTTGGGGAAATGATTAACAATGAATATTTGAATCAATGAGATGCCCTGTGAAAAAAGTCTCCACATATTTTTCTGAATAAAGAGCAGCTTGTCATGTTTGTGTGCCCTCTTTTGTGTGTTTAAACCCCAAACCACTAAATAGCATAGTTGTAAATGTAAGCTGAGGGTTATGATGTTGGATGTTACTGTGATTAATACAAATTCAGTTCAGTATCACGATATATTGAATTGTAACCTGTGTAATGTAATACGTATCATATCGCCAGATTCTTGCCAATACACAGCCTTTATCCCTGACCTGAACTTTACATAACATCAACCAGGTTGTATCTTTTAGGTAAAAATGGATTAAGATAAATATTTAGCTATTTCTGTTTACCAGATATAAAACATTACATTAACACCACTAAGTCTTGAGCAGAGGAATTTGACTTTTGAAATCTAGTAGAAATACAATAAAAAAAGAAGTGCTGCAACCCATGTATGGGGACCTTTCTCTGCCCTTCCCATTGGCTTAACTAACTGTTAGCTGGCTAAATGTGGTAGCAGTTTAGCAAAGAAATAATATTTGATATTATGAAATTAGAAGGATGAGGCCATAACAAATGAAGAAATGATTGTTTAATTTATGTCTTTATTTCATAATGTATTTTTTATTTATTCCATATTGACCACAGAGGTTCCACATAAATAGAGTTTAATATGAAATTTAGAACCTGTTTATATTATACAACTACACACTATGCTAATGTGACTTATTTCTATATTTGCCATGTGGCCTTGTTTCCCACTTCATAGGTGCATACTACAAAATGAACTTGTAAAATCACATGTAGCTGTACCTTATTGCCAAGACCTGTTAGTTTGTTCCCATGGGGCAAGGTCACTTTATAGACCCATCATGTCACTGTGACCTCAAAACCCAGCAGTCACTCAGTTACTATAATAATGTTAATATAACAATTCAATCAAAAATCAATGTTAATGTTTTTGAATGTCATTTTTGGTGAAGATACTGTAGTCTACATAAACCAAATAAGTAATTTTAACTTAAAAAATTGTTGAAACTGATTACATTGAAAATTTTAATTAAGTTTGTAACTTAAAAATAAATTAAAATTACTGGTAAAAGCTGCTTAATCAAGAATCTTTTTTAACTTACACAACTGATGTAATCTGTTTCAGCATAGTTAAATTAATTTATACTGTTTTACAGTGTATAATCTGTACTGCTGTCACAGAGCTGTGCAATTTAACTGTGACTGACCTGAACCTGGTCCAGCAGCATGCCGGCCGTCAGCATGCCCAGCCCGGCCAGCAGGTATGAAGGCAGCACCTGGAGGAAGATCACCCTGGATGACTCTCTGGAGGAAATGTGGAGCTTCTCCTCCTCCATCTTGTCAGAACAACAACTGCTGCTGCTGACATTCATGTGTGGTCTGCACAGCTGCCAACTTTCTGTGCTCATTCAAACCAAACTGCTGCCAAAGAGCCCAAAACTGTTTGTCTTTCAGTCTGTCAACCTGCCCTGCGCTATATCTGCCTGACACTTCAGGACAATAATACATCAGAATTAAGATCAAATAAATGATTATTTAACCATGTTTACTACATTTAGAATGTTTTAACACTGATCTCTTCTTTAAGGTCAATTGGATTGTTTTGTATTACTCAATATTATGTAAGATGTCTATTGACTATAATTATACCTCCTATGAAGTCAAACAATCACAGGGCCTATCAGAATTTCAGTGAGGCTTCAATCAGGTCACTTTCCAATTTCAACAATGTGGCTGCAGCATCGTTGTTCTCTTTACTTTATAATCAATTTAAATATTCTTGTGGTTAAAGGAAAATGACTGAGTGCTCTTAATACTCAGAAGATGTACCAGGTGCTCCTGTAGGTCCTTTTTAAATATATATGATAAAATAAATCAATAATTATAATTATAATAATAATAAATTGGCCATTACAATAAAGGCTTTTTAATATATTACTTCCTCGTTGCTATTTTTTGGAGTGCCTGGATTTCCTTTTTGTTTATTCCTTTGGGTACATGAATAATGGCTTTTTGTGAACCAGTAGATGGCACAAATCAGCACTTTACTCTGAAATACTGAATATGAATAGGAGGTCAAAAGACTTGTACCACCTAAACACTGCATATTTACACTGTTTTAAAAAAACAGCCATTCAAATATTTAAAATGTTTATATGAATGGTTTGATGTATGGGCATTTATGCATGTAAATGCTACACAGAAAAGGTTTGTCTTGATCATGAATAAATCAAAGTTGCGAGATTCTAACAAGCACAGGTTTCAGTAACTATAGAGAAGCCAGAAAGGCATCTTCAGAGAACAGAAACACAGCCCACCACTATCTGCTATAAATATTCACTCTGCACCTCCCATCCCCAGTTTAGGTCTCATGTTATATGTCAAGGGTGGGAGCAATAGATTACAGTTCCTCAGAGCTGGTTGTCGTGCAGTCACTGATGGCTTCGTTGGCTGGTTGTGTTGTTTATTAAGTCTTCTTACGAAATCATCTGCTGTGGGTGGCTTGCAATACCTTCATTATTTTTTGCTCAAGATGTTGTGTTTGGTTTCCTGTGGAGCGTTACTGGCATCTGCTGGCAGAGGCAGGCTCTTATCTGTCATCTGGTGGCAGTTGGGCTCACGGCAACTTTGCTTGCAGCCAGTGAACACAAGGTCAGTGCAAGAGGCCAGTTCAGCAACAGAACACAACACGTCTCTGCAGTAAAGGTTTGGTCCTTCTTGAATGTGTTTTGCATGCAGCAACATTTGCTTTGTTCTAGATTTCAAGCATTTTACTGATGGTCTTGTCAAATAATTGCAGTTTTGTCTAGAAATCTGGTGATTGTAACAGGATACTTGCATGTAAAGTTTGAAAAACTAAATAATTAGGTCATGCATTGGTTGGTTTGTTTCTCAAGGTGTGCTTATTGTGACAAACATGGCGAACAAGGAGAAGAGCGGGCCCCGGCCTCAGTTCATCAGTGGCTCCAGTAGTGTATCCACCACCATCCGTCTTCGGGACCTTTATGATCCCAAGCCTCAACCTCCCAAAGCCCCAGTCCGGATCCGCCCTCCAGGTCCGAGAGCTCCGTCAGCAAAGGAACTCAATTTAAAGCACAGCTCTCCCAGTGATCCTCCAACCAAGACAATCATGAGGAAACGAGCTCATTCTCTTCCTTCATCTGCAGAGAGTAAAAAGGAGCTCAGGAGCCTGCAGGTGCGCTTTGTGGACTCACTGGGCCTCGAGTTAGAGGAAGTTAAAGTCTTCAAAGTTCAGGAGCGCCCCCTGATACCCCAACATGTTATGTTCAGACTACTGATGAGCTCTGAACTGGCTTTTGGGAAATCATTGGAGCTGTCCCTGCCTTACTTCAAACCTTGTTTCCCTGAGAATATGGGAGCTCAGCCAGACTTCCTGAAGCGTCTCTACACTCAGAGCATGTGTCTGCAGCAGGTCTTGTGTTCAGAGCAGGGGATAACAGGCACTATACAAGTACTCAACTTAGCTTATGAGAAAGAGGTCACAGTGCACTACTCTTTCACAAACTGGAGAACACTCACAGAAACAACAGCATCCTGGGTATCAAGTGGGTACCGTGGGGAGTGCGACGCTCCAGAGACAGATATCTTCAGATTTCGTCTGCCTGTGCCGCCCTTCATTTTGCAACCAGGGGCCATTTTAGAATTTGCCATCTGCTACCGCGTAAAAGGATCTAATTATTGGGACAACAACAATGGACACAATTACAAACTGTCATGCCACAGCTACAAGGTGACTGTGCCGAGGGAGTGTGAGGACAGCATGCTGCATTTCACCTGAGTGTCCACACAGGGGAGCTGGAACACCTGCACACAGATATGGGTGACAGGCAAAAAAGTACCACCTAAACTACCCATAATTCCCTTTGCTTATTATAGTCAGAGGTGGAATGTAACTAAATACATTTACTTAAGTACTTGCTAGTACAGTTTTGAGGTACTAGCAAGCAACTGCCACTTTGTAAATATTGTACTTTTTATTCCACTACATTTATCTGACAGCTGCAGCTATCTTTCAGAATTAAAGTTTACATGCAAAATAAACGATTAGTTGGAAACTTTGTAGAATCATCCCAACAATCTATAAAGTAGTTAAAATTAACCCTGCTGCAACCAGCCACATTAGAATGCTGCTTGTATGTTAATGTACATTATCTGATACTAATACTTTACTTACTGCACTTACTTAAGTAATATTTTGGATGCAGGAGTTTTAATGAAGTATTACAATATCGTTATTTTTACTTAAATAAAGGATCTCAACACTCGCTCCACCTCAGATTAGAAGATGTTCTAACCAGGGAGACCTCAAATTTAACACTAGAGAAATACTAAAATGGTCAAAGGAGGTCAAGATTTTAGTTTAAAAAGGTAAAATCAGTTAATGAATACTGCTTCCTTGAGTGATCTAACAGATAATCTGAGAAAAAAAACGGTTCCTCTGGCTCCTCCTTGTGCTCCTAATGGCATTTGCAAAAATCCAACGGGCCTGAACAAAAACAACCAATCAGAGCCGAGAAAGATAGTTGATTGTTGGGTCTCATTCTCAGGTGATCAAATGCCAACACCACCTCATGTGCTACTGTCAGCATATAAAGTTTCAGCAAATGTTACAAAAAGCCATTTTTCTAAAGGTTACCTACTGTAACAGCCATCAGTTTAGTATGGCGTAAGCTCCAAAAACGCAGGATCCTGCATTTCGAATAATGCAACTTAATAGCACACCACTACCCACGCTTCCAGTTTAAAATGATGGCTTTCTGTTGAAAATTGGAATTCTCAAGCCGGAGTCGAAACAACCCAGATGACATCCCCTCAGTACGAGTAAGCTAAACTTCATATGTAAAACGGGTGCAGTGGCCCTTTAAAATATTCCAGTCTGAGTCATGGAAGGATTCCTGTGTTCCTGCTGGACTTTTATTTAGATTAAATCCCGGCCACCTCTGTACAGATCTACAAAAGAATTTGCCCACTGTGCACGTCAGCAAAGTCTGGTGACCCAATTTAATGACTGACAGTCTGAGTTATTGTTGTATCTTAACACAGAATTTGCACAAGGTGACAAATCCATATTCTTTGCTGATTTCACACAGAAAGAGAGCACTTAATGAGCTGCTGGCAACCCGAGCAGCGTGTTTGCTGTTACTCTGCACTTTCTGCCACAATCAAGGGGGCTTGACCTCATTCTTTTGGAGCTTGTTTTGTTTTTAGAGGAAGATTACCGGGAGCAATGCTAGCTCCTCTGTTGCACTGTGATCCCTTAGTTATCCCCGACAGCACTGACCTTTCACCAAAAAGTTTCCACTGATATGAGAGGCCAGATTCCAGAGAACTTCCTGGCAGGCTGCAACGTTTGGCTCATAGGTGGGCGTTCTTCCATCTGCATTAGTCACTGCAGCTGTATTGCAAGCTTTAAACATGATAGCAGATATCTGAACATTAAACACATTATGGAGCATGTCAAGCCCTAATCCATAATTAATCAATGAGAGAAAAATAAAATGTTGTTAATTAAAGACACAGTCTGTCATCCAAATGTGAACAAAAAGTTAGCCCTCCCACCAAAAATAGAAACAACTGTTATGACCCTTAAACTGAGTGACAGGACTTAAATATAACTAAATTCAATTTTTTTGAATGATCTGTTACACAAGCCCATACAGTATTGTCAGTTATGATCTCTTGAGAAACAAAAAACAATAGATTAAAAGTAGATTCAAGTAAATCTCCAAGTGCCGTAAAGTATATATGTGCCTAATATTTTAGTTTTGGGTGAAAATACAGTTTGGGGATTTCCTGTGATTGTGTAAAACTGTACATGCACATGAGTGATTGAACTGCAACTCTGCAACAACACCAAACGCTAAATCCCTCTCTCCAGGAACGCTGAGAGGTTTGTGTGTAATTTGAAGCGGTCAGACGTTGCAGTTGACAGACACTAGATGGCATCATTGCTCAAATCTAAGACCCTACAATGTAAAGCAATGTTTGATTTTTGTCTCCAGTGGTGGAAATATTCAGAACTTACACTCAAGTGAAAGTAGCTACACAACAATGTAAAAATACTCTATTACAAGCAGGGACGGATCTAGAGGAAAAATGCCTGGCTACCTGAGGTTGGTGTCAAATGCTGTCAAATTTGACACATTAACTTAGATTAATTGTATACATGGTAAAGCGTGGAAATGAACTTAATGATCTGTTATGGACATTTTTTAGACTAATTTCAATGAAAAAAGACTTAATAAAAAAATAAAACAATTTACTGATTTCTAATGCCACCTTTAGGTATTTCTATTGAATCCTTTACTAATGTGCCACAATCATGTAATGTTTTTGAGTTCAAATATTGTAATTTAGGGGCTTTTCCAAGCAAATATTGATTAATGTGATTGTTTGTGATTAAATTAGCATTTATTTCTGCTCCCTTGAAGTCTCTACAAACTACATGAATACTTCTCCAGATCTGCCCCTGATTACAAGTAACAGTGTTGCATTCAACACAATAGCCCGTCAGAGATATAAAGATCATCAGATTATTATTACTGATGCATAAACATGTATATTTTTGAATATTGTTGGTGGTTGAGGTAGAGCTAAGTTTCTGTTGGGCAGTTTAATCTGTAACAATGCATATTTTGTAAAATGATGACTCAAAAATAAAATCTTAACCTGCAAAGTACCATAACAATAGGTGTCAGATAGAAGTTGGAAGTATCTTAAGTGCAAACACTCCAGTGAAGTACCTCAAATGTGTAAAATATAGCACTTGAGCAAATGTACTTTTGAACATCCCACTGCTGTTTGTTGCTAACTTCGCACTATTTGAGATCCATGCAACATAAATGTGTTTTGTTTTCACAAATCCTATGAATGCACATTTTACATATCAGTCTTTTTGTTGAGCTTTTCTTAATTAACCACTAAACTATAGTAAAACAGCAGTCACAGCTTCCCTCTGTTATGATAATAAACTGCTGTACTGTATATTGGTTGTGGATTGAGTGATGAGCTGGTTCACCCTCATTATCCCATCACTGATTCCTGAGAGCGTTCTTACAGAACTCCATCTGCCTTTAGAAACTTTTTCAAACAAACAATCTATTTAGAAAAGTAACACAACATTCTGTAATCGCACTCCCCGAAGAGCTGTGCACTGTCCTCAGAGCTCTCGGAGGGCACCCATAACCTGGCAACCCTTTCTTGTTGTGTCTTACACTTTGCCTCTGTAGCTTGTTTGTAATTACTGCATTCACAGACGATGACTTATTCCACTGTAGCAGTCACTGTGAGGCGTGGTGGATAAAGGCATGAACATAGCAGTAAACTACAAGAATGGCCTTTGTGCTGCCAGGCTTTAGCGTGCCCTCTCTACTTGTTTCTCCTAAACCTTTTACAGTTGCACCAGAAACAAAAACAAACATCCCCTCTGTTCTCCGGGGCTGCCTGCGTTTCATTGCTCTCATTGTTTGTGTGGATGGATGTTCTTCACTAACAGTCTTAGCTGTCATGCCAGCGTGTTGCTGGGGCACACATCCATGCAGCCTCGCAGCGCTCTGCCTTTATTTGGGGCTGTCATCTTGTGCTTATTGCCGGTAGTTATATAAGAAGCCACCATATTAGGAGCCAACATGATGCTCAGTAGTGACGTTTACTCCAGGGACTCGCTGGAATTGAAATGTAACAACTGATGCTTCATTTTGGGTGCCAGTGATTATGAGTTGCATCATTAAAACACCATTATGGCCTGTGTGTTTTGGAATAAAAGAACTGTGTCGCTTGTAATATTTGTTCATTGTTAGTCTCGAGGGTATGACTGATTTCCTCATATGAATATTTATTTGCAGAAGAAACATTTTGCTCCTATAAAGCTAATGTGTGGTTCAAAATAACTCTGGAGAGCAACAGTGACGTGGTGTATTGTTCTTATGCAACGCAGCTAAATGAGTGTTTCTCAGGAATATATGGAAAAAGGAAAATGGTCCAAAACATGACGTGATTTATAATCCAAAGCCTATTTTTGAACCAGAAAGTCATATCACGCTTACAGTTGGCTAGAAACTGCTGAACATATGTCCAGTGTGTGTGTTTACACACTTGGCCTTCACCCCTCTGAGGGATAACCGGAAGTCAGGATATCCCCCTCACACCCATGAGAGCATCCCCTTGTTCGACCCACGCAGCTCCACAGGTTACCAGGCAGTTCTGGACCGGACTGACCACTACCGGCCCGCTGCCCGTAGCAGCTCCTTTCATTACTACAGACAGCGAGCGGTCCTGGAGGACAGTACAGTTTAAAGTGGAGCTGCCATCTGTTGCTCCACCAGTGCCAGGACGGTGAGTGACTCACATAACATGCGTGTTGATGTCAGTAAAGAAGCTAAAGCTGCCAATCTGATTGTGCCTGACAGAGATGTTACCAGGGTTACTTTTTTTTTTTCTTTTCAAATTTAATATCAGGTAAGAGATTTCTACCTTCTGAAAGAGGCTTTCCAATGACCTCACTTGCACCTACAGTGCCTATCATTTTAATGTTTGTCTGGAAAGAACAAGCTCAGGGATAAGTGTAACACAATGGCTGGTTTCTCTCATTCTTGTTCCTCTGCCAGATGTGACCCAGCCACACAAACACTTATTAGATATTAGACGCAGTCAGGTGAGCTTGTTTTCATGATCGGATTTAACCTAACTAACCTTCTTAATACCCTACAAACGATGCCTGTCCTCATTTGTAAGAGTAATACACAGCACAGTGAGGAGAAACAGGTCACTGCCTGCATTCGTAAACTAATCGCAGCTTGATCTGATGAAGGTGAACCTCACTGCGGTTTTATCATCTGCTTACTAAAGCGCAGAAGTGACAAGATAAATCTGAAGGGATTACAACCCATTTAGGACGTGTAGTCAGCAATTATCACCAAATTCTGACCTTAGTGAAACATTTTTAAATATCACACATTCCTGGCATGCTGTGATATTGAAGTATGATTTGAAAAACACACCAAAATCACACTGCACACAAGACAAGCAAACAGTTTGTTACAAATTGAAAACCTGTATTGTGCAGACAATAAATAGTGCTTACAAAGGGATTTTTGTCTTCTACACAGACAAGGTTTCTGTTTACACTGTTGATATGAAACACCATCGACTGAATCAGTGAGACTCAGACACAGCTTGGGGATGTGACTACTGATACTGGAGTGGGACTGGTCGACTCGGTCACATGCACATCTCCCCCATGTGGCATCAAAAAGGACGTCGCTCAAAACAGTCTGTTTACGAAAAAAAGTCTCTGCTTGTCTATGGCGAACACATGACCTCCATTCTTCCTGCTCCTCCGACAAGGTGAAGTGAGGGTTGAGGTCATGTTCCTCTGAGCAGAAGTGGAGCTCGCCGCATGCGTCCCTGTCCACCGGCGGCTCCATTTCTAGAGACATAGCCTCCAAGGTTCGCTGGACAAAAACACCAGGACACCCACTGACTGTGGGCCAGGGCACTGGAAGACTCCGTGCAAGGTCTTCACTGACAAAACCAGATATCAGCAACTCTTCACAGAAGAAACCTTGCTAAGGCCGGTGGAACCTACAAAAGGGGTAAAAGAGGGGAAAAGTGTGAGCGTGGGCTGAAATATTCACATAGGGTTTCATCAATCAAGAGTCCTATTATTAGCCCAATGGACAGTGCTGTTAAAAGCAGCCAATGGCCTCTCCTCAAAAATGGGGTCTTGCGTAAGCACCACCCTGGCTAATTCGGGATATTTTTTATAGCTACAGACAGTCTTGACATAAGCAAAACGTAAGCTAAATATATGCGACCATTTATTATAGTGGAGAGGTGGTGCAAAAGGGTGCAACTTTCTCATCTCAGGGGGCCTGCTTGCAGCTAAATTTAAGCCTTACTCTGCAGGGTGTGTGCACTCATTGATGTGAAATTGTCGGATAATGCACCTTTGAATCTTTGAGTCGCACAATGTCACAATGACCCTCTTAGACATCACCTGCTAACAATAAAGCAGGCAAAAAAGAGAGCAAAAAGGGAGATAATAATATCACACTGACCTTGTCAGATGCTTGCTCGAAGAATGAACTTCCATCTCGTTGCTTTTGAACTCGTTCAGCTCCTTCCGTATCGCCGCCTGCGGAACAAAGGCAAAAACAACACAGGCATAAGCCCAGGTGCGTCCGCTTCATACATCGATGCAGACGCTCAGGTGGTGAAGCTCAAATGAGGATGTTATGAAAACGGAGAAACATCTGCCGTTTAGGCGCCGATTATGTAAGCTTAACTGGGTTTAATCTTTCACACCCACAATCAAAGTTTGTGACAACCAGGAGGTTGTATTAGAAATGTTCTTCGTGACAGGCAGGGTCTCTGCGGGGCTTCCCCAAAGACATTTAAAGACCTTTTTAATACCACAGAGAATGTAATGTGTTACCTGTTTCATAATCATTGCAGCACAATTATGATGAAAACCCAGAGCGTTAAATATACCCTGGCATTATTTATTGATATGTCACATATTTTCACTACTCCTAAATTGCATATAACAATAATTCCTAATGATATATTCAATTCAATTAATGCAACCTGTACTTGGATAAGTGGCATTACATGAATGGAGGGATGGATGAACCTATGGAAAATGACTCTTATTCTTTACAATGTGGCTTCAGATGCCTATTATGAGACTCTGAGTGTCGTAGCTGCTGCAGCAACAGTAGTGGCAGTTGCTATAGGTGAGATGGTGCTGACTGAAAAAGGAGTAAACAGCCTCCTGCAGCACAGTGTGTAACAGCCCGCAATCTAAAAACAGTTTAGACTTTTGCAGAGGTACTTTCTAAGGCCTTTATGAGGAAACTGAATTCAATACTTTTTAAGACTTGTAAAGACCTTCAGAAACCCTGGAGAGAGGCTGACGCAGAATATGGCCACTGAATCAAATTCTTGCACCATTTTAATATATGAAAGTGTTGCTGATCTGTCCTAAAAACCAGGGATGGATTTTTTTAAGCTACCTTGTCAGCAGCTGACAGTCTGGTCCAGGGCTTGTCAGCTCTCCTGTCGTAGTCCTGAGCTTTGGCCACTTCCACATAGTCACTGAAACGAATGAGGATCTTTCTGTCACGCAGCTCGTCCACTGTCGGCCGCTGGTTCAGCTGGAAAACATACAAATAAATGTCAGCTCATCAGCTTATCAATGCATTCAATCAGCAAAGAGCTTGGTGATAGAAAGTAAATATTAATAAAAACAGCAGCAGGTTGGGTATTAAGGTTCTGTTGTGGCTGGTTGACAGTCCACGTGAGGGACTCCCAGTCCAATGTGGGATTAAATGGATGAAATTCAAAGAAACTGCTCGGATCAGTGCAGCTGCCTACCTTTCTGTTCAGCCGCTGTTTGATTTCCCTCCTCTCCTCCTGTTCCGTCTGGTCATTTCTTTCTGTTGACACAAAAAAGACAAACATTATAACCAAAAAGCAAGTCTAAATCACTCTAATACACTTACATGTATTAACTGGGTAAATACACTGTCACTGTTTGTATCATGGCACTGGACAGTTGATGAACTCTGTGATTAACAGAGCTAATATGTCTTATCCCCCTCACAATCAATACTCCTAAGTGAGCCGGGTCTGCAACTGTGCTGAGGACAGGACTTCAGCGGTGGATCAGTGCTGAATGTGACACGAGCAGATTAGAGCACTAATGGGATTTCTCTTTATTAGATGCAGCAGAGAGATCACTAGATGTCACTTCATTTATTTTTAATCTCCTTCTTTCATTCCAAACAAATTTTGAGCTATTTGGCAATGAGGCGGGCACGTGTCACCATCTGAGATGACTCAACTGTTTGCATATATCCAGAAGGCTTTTAGTTTGTGGTTGGGAGAGTGGGTGAATGAATGTGTTGCGGTTCAGGGTGAGTGTTTAGCTTGAACACATGTTGCTGTGCAGAGAGAGACGGGGTCAGTGATGAAACATGCAGCTGCTCAGGGATCACAGGTGGCCCGTCTCAGCTGGGAGACACAGTTCACTACGAATGCGGGACTTTATCCCCCACGCGGCTGTTTCATAATTGTTCTGTATTGTAAGGACAGCTCGGCTAGTTTCACAGTTTTGAAGTGCTACGATCTGACACCTTCTCCCTGCAGACGAGGAGCTATTCTTCTGAATAAAACAGGGTCGTCGCTTCAATGGGGAGCTAAATGAATGAAGGATTCAAATATGAGCCCAGATCCACAGATAAAAGAGGGCACTACAGTCTAACTGCTCAGTATGACCCCTACAGAAATAATAGTGGAGTATTACATTGATTTGGGGGATTTGTGGGCAGGGGTCTATCATTATCCATGATGTCTATATTTGAATATTGTTCTGCAAATATATGTATAGATAAAGATATGCAAAAAATATATTTTTATTGCTGCCGATTATTTTCTCACTTGATTCATATGGTCAAAAAAATAGTCCATCAAAAATGCCCAAAGCCAAATTAACATCTCCAATTGACTGTATTGTCTGAACAACAGTGCAAAAGCCAAAGCTATTCCATAATAATAATATAAAACTGAAGGAAAGAAGGAAATCCTCACATTTGAGATGATGTAAACAGAGTTTTTGCTTGAAAAATGATTCAGTTATATATTCAAATTGTTGATATTTTCCTGTCATCCACTGGTTCATAATTGGACTTATTATTTCAGCTGTACAAATACTAAAAAACAACATATATATATATAACAATCACAATTTAAAATAACATTTTTGTTTTGTCTTATTTTGAATTTTGTTTTTTTTAATGCAGACCGAAACAATAAAGTCAACACAGACTTAACCACGCCTGATACAGTCGAAATACTTTTGGGATTTTAACTTTTTTTTTCTTCAAATTAAAAGTATATCTAAACCCACAGTCCCACAGTGAGATCTATTTAAATCCCTGCACAGTGTCACAGACAGAAAATAGCGCTGGTTTGCTCAGTTTGCTCAGTTTGGAGCGTTTGGAGCTGTAAACCCGTATCGATGGTTCAACTACTCACGCTTTAAGATGTTCCGACTCTCCAGCTCCTCCACGGCCGGCCTCTGGCTCAGTCTCCTGCGAAAAAACACCAGAATTACGTTCTGGACCATGTCTCCCCCTGACGCTGCTGCCCGGGGTCTCTTTCTCCAACCCCCCTCCACAAAGTCTGTTCAGTCTTTTCACTACTACTAGCACTTTAGATGCTTGAGCCGGTGCGCAGAGCGCCAAGATCCGCACATCCAAAAAGCAAACACCGCGTCCCACCTCGAGTCCAAAAAGCGGCTTATTTTGCTATTATAACATTTAAGGCTCCACATCGGGAAAAAAGTCAGGCTGCGCGTTTAAAATCACGCGTCAGGGCCAGCTCAGGGAATGAAAAGAGGGAGACTTCCCCTCAAGGAGCAGCTCGGTTGCCGTAATGTTCCAGGAGCGCTGATGGGAAGTTTGGAGAGAGGAGCGTTGGTTGGAGTCCCGGCGGAGGTGTGGAGGATGCTGAGCGCTCTGAGCTGCTCTCTGAGTGGAGTGAGTGGTGCTGCAGCCTTTTACCACATGCACAACACTAATGTGAAGGGGTGGGACTGAGGAGGAGATTCCCCATGCGCGCGCACGTACGCACGCACACAAACACACAACCCTGCTGCAGCAGAGGGAGCTGCTTCTGTATCTGTGCTTATCTGTAAGTATAACCGGGCTGGTAGTCAGGGTGAACCCACCTGAACTCACTTCTTCATCGACATTCTTCAGAACGTCGTTTTACATAAAGCAAATACAGCATCTGCATTACTGAATGACAGATTTAAAGCATCCGATGATAGGGAGTGGAGCATCAGCAGGACAGGTAGCATAAATGTTTAATGGCTGCTCTGTACAGAGTAAGACTTTCATTTTCTGCCAGTCTTCAAAATGCTTACTTTGTCCAAAACCTGTCCAAACAGTCCCCAAACCCAAAGACATCTCATTTACAAAGATATAACAGAGAAAAGCAAAATGTGAGTATGCAAGTGTTCTGCATTTCTGTTGATTTTTCTTGATAAGTGACGATAACTTACTGATTAATCAACCTATCATTTCAGCACCATGAAGGAACTGATGATATAATAATAATAATAATAATAATAATAATACATTTTATTTGTAAAGCACTTTTCATAAAAGAATCTCAAAG